CTTTCTCATAAGTAAATGGAACAAATTGCAATAATTATCAATGTGCCAGAAAACAGTTGTGTTTTAGATGAGGAATTACACAGGAATTAGCCAAAATATTTGTTTTATCATTTAATGAAATTCAAAGAGGCTTGTAAAGAACTTCACTTTAGTTGAAATCATGAACTAAATTCATGATTCCTCATAAATCCTCTAAATTATATCAGATCTGTTTACAATACATTGCCTATTATTAGAATCTTGCATTGTTAGTAAAGTAGTTTCCTCAGGCATTAGATGCTTCAGGTGGTCAATCACAAAGAATTATAGCTACTGGAGAAGAACATCTAACTTTTGGGAGCAGGACTGGAGATGATAATGGGGCCCAGACCAAAGTTCAAAAATAGTCTGTGCATGCCTAAGCCAGTATGGAAAGAGAGTTCCTTGTTTTTAAAGGAGCAGGAGATGTGTATAATTTTCTGTATGATCATAAGATCATCTTAATTTGAGGGCAGGCTTTTTTGTATGGCTGTGAGAATTGAATCATACGGAAGGCTAAATGCCAAAGAATTGGTGCTTTCGAATTGGGGTGTTGGAGAAGAGCTAAGAGTTCTCTGGACTGCAAGGAGATCAAATCAGTCAATCCTAAAGGAAATCATCCCAGACAGCTCTTTGGAAGGACAGATACTGAAGCTGAAACTCAAATATGCTGGATATCAAATAGTAATAGCAATAGCACTTAGACCTATATACTGCTTCATAGTGTTTTACAGCATGTTGACAGAGTCAGCATATTGCCCCCAATGATGAGAAAATGAGAAAAGAGGATGCAATGAAAAAGATCCTGATGTTGGGAAAGATTGAAGGCAAAAGCAGACAGGATGGTAGAGGATGAAATAGTTAGAAGTTGGGCAAACTCTGAGAAACAGTGGAACTGAGGGGGACCTAGTATGCTATGATCCATAGAGTTGTGAAGAATTGGACATGACCTAGTGACTGAACAACAAAAATATTTTCTTTTTGCCTTCCCACGATGATATTTTTTTGCAAATATCTTTTCTTTCTAGTGTAGCTACATTGCTGTTTACAGTGGATTGTAATTTTCAAGAAACAGAATTGAACCAGAGTTTTTTTAGATTATTTTAATTCCTACCTGATCCAATCTTAAACAACTGTGACTTTTGAATATATTGTTTGGTTGTAGATTAACAGTGTGGCATCTCATTTCTTCAGTTGTTGATCATACTATCACTCATTATTGCAGCAATAGATGCAACCAATAAACTTTTCTTACTATGCAGCATTTATATTAGACTTGAACTTGTTTCTTTTAGTGATCAACTTTTTAATAGTTTTTAATACATTTGCACTGAACCCTAACGATTTTTTCAGGCAATACTTCCTCTTCCTCCTCCTCCTCCTCCTCCTCCTCCTCCTCCTCCTCTTCCAATATTTATTGCCATAGGATCTTTATTCCAAATTGGCTGCTTCCCTAGTAAAATTTGAAAACTGCATAATAAAAATGGCAAACTCAAAAGCAATTTGTAATAAGTTTTACAACTAAATAGGCAAAGTAATACTAACGGACTTTTTCTTTTGGTTTCCTCGTGCATTTTTTCTTATCAGAACCTGTTGAAAAACTATTCATATACTTCAGAACATGAAGGTAATTTTAACGTGTTAACATTAAAAGGAAATAACCTGCAGAGAACATTGAAATATTAATTCAAACTAAAAAATCTTACATCATCCTGTCATTTAAATAGATTTATTGTTAACTATCTTGACATATGGTATCAATTTCCTTCATCTCCCTTGATACAATAGAGATTATTTTGGAAAAAGTATAAAAAGTGGTAAGAAAAAAACCTTAAGTATAAGATGAATTTTAGTTTGCTAATTTCAGCAGATACCATGGGAATTCTACAGATGGACTGAGCAATTTAAAAACAGCACAGATGTTTCTTTTGTTGATTTGCCATTTTTGATAGCAAAATAATCACAGCTAGATCTGGAAATGAGAAAGGCACAGCTTTCTCCAATAATTTCTTTTTAATGAAGTGAATCTGGCTTCATTAAACCGTGTAGATATGCCACTAAACTCAATAAGGTTGGACTTCTCATGTGTCTATAATGTTGTGACTTGGCAACAGTAGTCTTCTCTGGTTGATAATCCATTGATTTCTATTCAGGTGTAAAGGTGATGAAAACCTAACAAATTATGTTATTCCAATTTACTGCAATTCAGCAAAATCAGTGTTTGACTGTACGCCATCAAGTCAGTGTCATCTTTAAGTGACTACCTAGATCTTTTTCCAGAATGAAGTTATATGATACTTAACTCCTATATAAAAACAAAATAGCTTATTCTATTGCTTCAAAATATTAGAATTATACCAATTCATATCACTTGATCAAGTTATTTGTAACTTAAAAGTAATTAGATAAGTGAAACTTTTGGTTTTGTACCTGAAATCTAGAATGCCGAATGAATATATAAATAGCAGGAATTATCTTCTTAATGTTTATCACTTCCATGCATTACACATGTGTGAAGAGGTAGGGTTTTGCACCCTCTCCCACATTTTGAAGCTGGTGTTGAGCAGATAGAGTTTTTCCATACAGCTTCAAATTGTCCAATAGAGCAGGCTTCCTGAATATGATTTAGGGAACAAATAGGATGAGTGTGAGTTCATTTAGATGTTGAACATCATGAGGGATAAAATAGAACCTCATGGAATGCCACAATAACTAGCTGAGAAACCTTTAATAGCAGCTGATTACTCTTAGATATCTGAAGATTTGTTCTGCTAACCATTTTCTTAGGAGCGGCAAGATGGATTTTTCAAGACAGAATTGCATCAAAATTCTATCCCAGATCTTAAAATAGTAGATTTGTGACCATTTTAATTGTAATACTGTTTTTCTAATATCATTTTAATTTTAAAGTTCTTGAAACCTTCCTCTGAGTAAACTATTAAAATTAGTCAACTTTCACAGGAATTTTGTGCGACTTTTAATATCAATATATTTAAAATATATGGGCTTGATCCATGTCCTTCTTGGCTTCTTTGTAGGATTGGGGGATATAAAGAGAGATGGTAGGACTGGGAGGTGGACATTGTTTCACTTTGGTAAAGGACAATACTGGAAGCCTTGAAGAAGGCTATGGTGCACTTTTGCTTAAAGGAACTCAAAAGGACCCTATAGGAAGTGGATTAACTAGATTCCTTTCAGTCCTATAGCAGTTCCAACATGTGATAGAGAAGCCATTGATCACTCTAGTGATAACCTTTGTAGGAACCTTGATGTAGTATGGCAATTCTTTTAGATCTTTCATTGGCATGTTATGCCATTGGCTATTGTATTCTGACATGCTAGACACTAGAAACAACCATTCCTCAGTGGCTCTTCTGATATCTCAAGACATAAATCCAATCCATGATGATGGATGAGGTCAGGATATTGACTATTTTTACATTCTGTATATGCCACAAAGTTTTATTTTTCTTTGCTCTTGCTATTTAATGTATTCATAGCAATTTTATGGTTTAATATCAATATGTTGATATTTGGCACTGTATTATGATCTTGGGACCAGCAAGGGATGTTATCAAAGTATGCTTCTGGTGTGTAGAGACTGTTAAAGTATGGATGTGACAAAATAGGACAAAGTTGATTTCAATTTGTTGATTTCAACAAGACAGAATTGCTGCCCTTGAGACAATATTACTATGACCTGAGGCTTTGTCTTAAATTCATTGTTCGTGCTGGAAGGACTGGTAGTAGCCATAGCCAAAAATATTTTTGTCCAGCTCAGGTGGATGGCTAGGTTCCAGCCTTTTCTGGAGCAAAATGATCTGGCTACAGTGACTCATGAGTTGGATTTCTGCCTCTGGAAATAGCACTTGGTCCAAATGTAGTGACCTTCACTTTTCAGAAAACGACTCATGTGTCATTCAATGCTCTTAAGGGTATTTGTCATGAAAATGACATTCTATGTAGAGATACCCATTACCAAGAAACCTTAAAGGATAGAAAGATACGAAAACATTTAATACTATTTGTACAGTTCAGTTGTCATCAAAAATGTAACAAGAAGAGGTGTATTGATTATGAGAAGCAAAAACACATAAACATAGGATGGGAACATCCATTTTCTGAGCAAATTCTCTCAGAACTCAACAAAATATTTATCTTTCTTGCTTGTTTATGAAAAAAAGCTTATATACTACTTCGAAATTTCTTTTGTTTTCTTTTCTCTGTCTATAATTATATATAGTGGAACATTCCAGAATTGTTACTTTAGCATATCATTTCATTCTATTTAATGACTGACTTAAACAATGTCACTTTTTTGTTATTTTAAGGTTTTGCATGACCCATGAAAAGTCAAAGACCCGGTATATTTTTGTAGAAACTCAACAAAGTAAAAACTGAAAACTAAACAAAAAACAAAAAAACAAACTCACAAACAAAGCCATATGTGGTGTGGTATGGCCTTACTCTAACTTCTACATCAAAAGATGTTTCATGTGTTCCAAAAACAAAAAAGGGGAATTAAGATGTCTTGACTCCAGGGACTAACCAATACTGGATTTCCTTAACATATTTATCAGTGCATATAGTAGTCCCATTGTTCTTTTAAATGATAGCATATATTCATAAAGTTGATGTTGTGCTTAAGCAAGTGAATGCATTGCAAAGTGCTGAACTTACGAATACATTTTGGGTTGAATCCAGATCCTCAGTGAGCTCAATATTATCTTTTAGTGTTTTTGCCTAACAGTAACATTTACAACTGGATTAAATTACACATATTTCATGACAAAAATATTGTTCAGAAGAATAATTTACTACCTACTACTTGGTATTAGCATTTAGGTTTCCATGACTTGCGGTGTATGTGACAGTATAGTTTATGGATGTTTACATCTGATTGGGTAAAGTTTCTGTAAATTACAACAGTGGCTCTGGACAGTGTAATCTATCAGACTGATAAATAATCTCAACAGCTAACAATGACCAAATTTCTCAATCAAATTTTGAATCATGAAAGCTTTTGGTCTGGTAATCTGTTAATTGGCTAATAATCTATTTCTTTTTTTAATTGTAACTTCCTGACATATCTGAATTCTTTTAGTTTTTGAGCACCTCTGTGATAGGAAATATGGCTAATAAGTATGATAAATATATTGCAAAGTAATTCAGGAAATTGCTGACTATGTGGAAACAATTGACACAAAACTGACTCTGCGGACACTATATTACACTACCTAGTTGCTGCATTTCATAAGATGGTCAACATTTTGAAAATCATAGATACTATTTGGTACAACATATGACTGAATTGCAGCACAATTAATGTTTCTCAGTTTAATGAATAGTATATATAACCTCAAACCTAGGCTTATTATTCCTAGTCTTACTTGTATATAGTTCACACTGAGAAGAATTACAATAAAAGTATTTTTGAAGACTTATGAAAGAATCATTGCAAACAAAACAAGCCAACATGTAATATCAGCCATTATTTTGTTTACATAGTATAATTTCAAATAATCTCTTGAAATGCTATTTGGTCCTAATCTTCTATAGCAGAGGTCCCCAACATTTTGGGCACCAGGGACCGGTTCCATGGAGAGAGGTTTTTCCGCGGACCAGAGTGCGTGGTTTTGTGTGCTGCCTGCATCTTGCGGATGGGGCTCTGCTTGTTTATGCGGACCGGTTGTTGGCATGCTGTGGCCCAGTACTGGTCCATGGACCGGTGGTTGGGAACCTCTGATCTACAGTATAGTTCTATCCTCCATTTGTGCTTCTGAATCTATGGCAAATATCAATGCCAATTATTTTATGTTGTAATAACATTTCTCTTTCTCTTTTGTTACATTTAGCTAAAAAACAAAGCCTGAAAGTTCAGATCAATGTAACCAATGATGCAGTGTGCATGAGATACATTCGTCCAACTCCAAGCACTAAACTGGAAGGTTTCATCCTGGGGTATGGAAGCAGCTTCTTCTCTAACCAGTATATTCCCCTACCATCTAATGGGAAAATGTACATAACTGAAGTTGGTAAGGCTATTTACAATTTACAGATTGCTTTTTTAAAACAATGATTGCTCAAATTGAACACATGTTTTCTTCTAATTTGGACTAGAAGATAGATGAGAGGCTTTGAAAGGAAAAGAAACAATATGCATTACCAAAAAGTTGTTTTTATTTTCTGGAAGATGTTTGTTTGTTTGTTTGCATGTTTTCAATTACTGATATTTTTCAAAATATCTGAATATGTAAGGAAACAGGCTAATTTGACACTATTGCAAATGTTAAGTAAGTTAAGGACACAGCTTTTTTTTCAAGATATGTTGTATGTTGGTCAATAATCTGTTGATCTGTAACTAATGTTGCAAGACGTAACCCTAATCACCAGAAGCAAATTTAGATTTAGATTTAATATTAAATCAGAACTAGCAGATCTGGGCTGCAAAAAAAAAACCTAGATAACTACTAGATAGCTCTGAGAAATTCAGAAACCCTCTTTGCTGCCCTTTTTGCAATACAATATCAATTTCTTCTTAAGGCAGATTATCTATATAAATAAAAATGTAAATGTTCATTTGTTCAAAATCTTAAATCTCCGAAAGTTCTTCACCGATTGCTTTGAAATTTTGAAACAACGTTGCATTCGAATACGCGCGTGTTTTTATATACCTTCTATTATATAGATGTCACACATGTGACAGGTAAAAACATGCTTTTTAAAAAAAACAGTGCCATCTGTTGGACGTAAAAGCAACACACGCTAACCAGACTGAGCCACAGCAACGCGTAGTCGGGTACAGCTAGTTACATGTAAGAACTTTAAGAACTTTAATGCACTTGATGAGTAAATTGATGAAACTTTGGAGATCCTCAAAGCAACTGCTGGCAAACATCAGGGCAAATTTTACCTCAAAGTACGTGTTTTGGGAGTTAGCTGTGTTAGACAAATGTTCAGAATGAAGAAGTAGCTGGAACTTTTAAATGCCTTCTGGATATTTTTGGCAAGTTTAAATCTATGTTTTCCTGAGATGGATTTCAAGGTTACAGACCCTTGTAAGTACTTAGCATTGTAGTGCACAAGGCTTTTCCTTCTTTTAGAGCAAATATATCCAATACATACTTTGTAATTAAATACATTTTTCTTTATAATTCCAGACACTTGGAAACCATTTAAATGTTTTTCTCTAGAATTAAACTAATAACATATAAAATCAAATTAAGCACTTGCCAGGGAGTTCCACATAATAATGAAGAAAATAAATTCACAATAATTTAGACCTGTTTGATGGATATGGCTATAGATCCATTGGTTGCAAAAAAAGAAAAAAGAACCCTCACCCAACCAGATTATTGCCTGGGCCTGACGTCACTTTGCTCTGTGTTCAGCTCAGCACTGCACTGTTAGGCAGGCAGTATCCAGTAGCACCACTAGGAGCAGTAGACTTCACCACCTTTATAAAATCGACAATATTATACCCAATTGTAATTTATAAATGCATCAACTTTTTGCAATAAAAATAGTTTTATGTTAGCCAATTAAAACAGAAAAATGAAAAATTAACAGAATAACAAAGTTGGAAGGGACCTGTGGAGGTCTTTTAGTCCAACCCTCTGTTCAGGTGGGAAACCCTATAATTATATCAGTATGCAGAATTGTAAAACAAAACAAAAAAAACATTGTCCTTACAATATAAAAATAGAACAGCAAATGTGCACATTATGGATTGCAACAGGTCTGAGAGTGATGCCAGAAAGAACTATGCTAATCTTTCAGGTACAATTCAGTTGAAAATAATGCCCAAACTGCATTGAAAATTTGAGATAATTTGGGAAGAGAGATTATAGTCTTCGAAAATGTACAATAGTGGCAGGTTTTACACACCCCTTATATTAGCAACATTTTATAAAATCTGCAGATAAAATCATATACTGAAAATGTGGGTGATGCTAAACAGAACACAACCCTCCATGTGGTTAAAACAAAAGTATATGCAGTGATGGCCATAAGTCAAAATTTCATCCAAATGACAAAATGTACATGGTATCATAACATAAACGCTACTCCTCATGTGTACTGTAATGACATACCTGATCTCTGAAGACACAGACAGGTTTATTATAATTTCTCTACAATTAGAGCACCAATTCTTCCCAAAGAGATTATAAAATATAAAATGTTTAAAATGTCTTTAGCTAACCAACCACCTAGAAAAAGCAGGTTAGGATGGTGTTGCCTTGGAATACTATCTTAGCTTGTTTTGACAGGATTGAGCCAGGGTAGGGAAGTGGTTAGAATGCAGTATTGCAGGCTGATTCTGCCCACTGCCAGGAATTTGATCCTGATCAGCTCTAGGTTGACTCAGCCTTCCACCTTTCCGAGAACCCAGATTGTTGGGGGTAATGTGCTTAGAGAGTGCTGTAAAGCCCTATCAAGTAGTATATAAGTCTAAGTGCTTCTGCTATTGCTAACTGAATTACCTTTGTGAATATAGTCTGGTCCCTAACAAGAATGATATCTACAATGCAATTATAGAAGTGTATACATCTCAAAAAAAAACCTCTTAGACAATAAGTTTCAGTGTAAACCAAGGTTCCAGAAGAAGGTCACATGCACAGAGGGCCCACCTACTCTAATATCTGGGGGTTCCTAGCCAGCATGTAAGAATATTCTCTTTATATTGCACTTATTCTGCAAGATTTAGTTTAAAATACAAAATATTTTTTTCCAGTATTTGCCCTAATTGTGTGTTCATTGTATCTGAATCTTAAAACAACATCTTGGAACTAGCTACACAAATCTCCTGAATTATTTCAGTATGAATAAAGGAATTCTTCAAACAAAAGACTGACTACTGCAATCCCAGGCCTTAGACTGAGCATCAAGGATGGCTCAGGGAGGAAGGCTGTTGGCCAGTCAGATAGACTGTTTATTATCATAATTGCTACTTTCTCCTGGCTGCTTATTTTCAGCAGAAGACCCAAAGATAGCAGACTACTGATTAGCATTTTTGGTCAGTGAGATACAATTCCCATAAACTGCTTCCTTTGTGGTATGTAAAGACCAATCAATCAGAATAGAGCTGGAAGGGACTTGAAGATCTTCTAGTCTAACCCCCTGCTCAAGCAGGAGATCCTATACCCTTTCAGATAGATGGCTCTATCTGCAGTGATGAAGCATTCACAACTTCTGAAGGCAAGCTGTTCCATTGGTTAATTGTCATCACTCTTATGAAGTTTCTCCTTAGTTCTAGGCTGCTTCTCTCCTTGATTAGTTTCCATCCATTGTTTCTTGCCTTGCCTTCTGGTGCCTTGGAAAATAAGTTGACCTCCTCTTCTTTGTGGCAGCCCCTCAAATACTGGAATACTGCTATCATGTCGCCCCTGTTTCTTCTTTTCTCTAGACTGGCCATACCCAATTCCTGCAACCGTTGGTCATATGTTTTTGTCTCCAGGCCCTTAATCATCTTAATTAATTTCTGGGTTAACTTCTGGATAAAATTTCAGTAAATGTAAACCTGTATAAAACACTTTGAACATATTTCCATTGTATAGAGCTGGACCTCTGCTTTGTATCATCACATATACACATTGTTATGTTATTTGCAAAAGGAAAATAAAATTTAAAAATAGTCCAGTTATGAAAACGTCAGGACAGAATGCTTAATAACTGCATGATTATAAAATACCCCATGCAGAGAGAACAGAGCCCAATTTAAATAATTGGGCAATATTCTGGCATCAGCTTTCGAATGACACAATAGAATCAGAATTTAATAAATGAAAACGCAATCAGAAAACATTGTTTTTAAACAATTCTAATGAAGAAAAGCCATGTGCATAAAGATACATTCAAGAATTGTGTGGTTATAATGGACCTGACGGGGCTACAGAGATACAGTATTTATGTGACCCTAACTGATTTCAAAAAATTAAGCTAGGCCAGTCCAAGTTGGCACCAATAAATTCCAGGAGAATAAGCTACAATATGTAACTTTTTAATTTTTTTAAAAAAAAATCATCCCAGAGAAGACTCTAACAAAATGTGTCCATATTATGGCCAAGAAAACTTTATATCATCATGAGGATCTAGGCTGGAGTCAAGAAAGTCTTTATCTTTCTCAGTGCAGAGGGATCAGCAAGCTATTAAAAGCAGGTAGAACAAAAGAGCTCTAAGAGCTCTTTTATACATATATACATACATGCATGCATGCATACATACATACATACATACATACATACATAGTTGAATATATACAATATTAGTTGAATAACCACAAGGATTATCAGATCTATACTGAGTAGTGTGTAAAATATAGACAGGAAAACCTGATCCCTTGATTGGAATTATAAGTTTGATCAGAAATTCTAGGTTAAAAATATCAATACATTTCTTTAAAAAAAATTAATAACTCTTCAGTCAAACCAAACGAAATTTATTTTTACTGAGAGCAGTGACTATGTAGGTAGTAAAATATGTAGTCAATAAAATCATTCCATTTAAGAGTCTGTCATGGCACTTCTGCTCCTTTTTGCCCTAATTCTACTTTGCTGTTTCTGAATGTATATCTTGTATGTTCTGTTGCTTCAGTTCTGGTTTTCTTAAGCTCCAATGTGACTGTCTCCTAATAAGGTCAAGAATTTAGTTTAATATGTTCAGTGAACCCTCTCTCTATGAAACCCTGTAATTTCTGACTTGTTTCTTCACTATGGGTTAATGCCCCTTAAAAGTGAGTTTGAAAAAGTGAAGACATCTTACAGAATAAAATGTAATAGTTTAGAGGACATAGTGAAATAATTACATGATATTTCTTGCCAAGCATCAACATCACTAGAGTTCAGTGAGTTTCCACATACAGATGGAAAAATGTGATTTATGTCAGTTTTGGACAAAACTCCATACTGCTTTCCAAGATTGTTATGTAAAACAAGCTATTCTTTACAAAAAGAAGAATGGATCATATTTGATATACTTGCAAGGGCTGAAGATGGTAAGGTTTTTCCAATGTTGCATCTTTTCTATTGATCAGACCAAAGTACTAGAATCAGCAGTATGTTTTTCTCTTACTTTATTGAAACATATAGGACAGTGGTGGCAAACCTATGGCACTGGTGCCAGAGGCGGCACTCAGAGCCCTCTCTGGGGGCACGTGCACCGTCGCCCCAGTCCTAGGCCTTCAGCTGGGTTTTATAAAACCTTTTCGCTTTAGGCCTCTGTCACCGTGTGCAAAAAAAAAAAAAAAGATTCAATCAATCAGTCAATTTCAACTTCTTGTGGGGAAAAAAAGATCTTGCAAAGTTAGAATTGATTGATTGAACTTTTTAGTCTCATCCAGTCTGCCGTTACCACTGCAGCCACGCCTTCCCAATGGGCCACACCCAGCCAATGGGCCACACCCGCCCGGCACCCAAAGATGCATAAGTGGGTTTTTGGTTGCAGTTTGGGCACTCTGTCTCTAAAAGGTTTGCCATCACTGATATAGGATAAGCTATTCCAATAAGACTGCAAGAATTACAAGATACAGACAATTTAAGGAAACTGAGCAACAATGCAATATTACAGGCATACTTAATCTATCAAAAAATAATTCAATATACTTCTGCCTGTCTAGAAATAACTTTCATGTAAACATACATTGTGTAAAATTATTCCCAAGACCATCAGGTGAATGATCAAGTATCCATTAACCTGGAATGATGGAAGGAAAAGGCCTGTTTCAAACTCTGGAGCATAGAATTATATATATATAGGTTTGTATTTCTTTGCACTACAGCACAGCAAGTTGTCTGTTAAGTTAATGTATAAATCTTCATTCCTGTTGGCAATAAACACAGTGTTCATACAAATTAAGCAACTTCTAAATAAGGGCTGAGGTTCTGAAGAGGTGAGATTTACCACTGAATCCTGGTGTGAAGCCTAAAATGTAGTTAAATGATAAACGTTTAAGATTCTGTGCATAATGTGAAGCAAGTCTGTGATTCCCAGTGTTAATAATTTTGATAAAGTTCTTGTGTATTTCACAAAAAAATGAAAAAAGTGCTTTAGTGAAGAAATACACATTTTGGAACTACCCATCTTCCTCTTTATACATCTTTCTAGTTAACATTATATGGTGATTATGAACTGGAGATTAAACTCTCCCTATATAAGTTGATCTACTACTGGCCTGTAAGCATAGAGTTACTGTAATGTTAACAGAGGTTACATTAGGAGGATGGAAAGGAAGAAAAGGATGAGGTAAATAGATATATCAGTACTCATAGATCCTAGAATCTGAGATAAGGCTCTGATTAATCTGCCCTGAGCTTTCAGAGGAAACATATCTAATTCTTAAACATAGCCAATGTTTAAACAGTTCCTTCCATAGTTGCTGTAGAAAGTAATAAAGATAACTTTGTCAGAGGGATGTAAAATTCCTTGCCAAGTAGTAAAACATATTTTCAGTCTACAATATAAGACAATATTTAAAAGTAGAATAGAATAGAACAGAACAGAACAGAATAGAACAGAACAGAACAGAATAGAATAGAATAGAATAGAATAGAATAACAGAGTTGGAAGGGAGCCTTGAGTAATGTCCCTAATTCACTGAACTATAAGTAAGGAAAGATATATTATTATAGACAATTTCAATAAAAATAGTTTCTACTTTCTCAGGAAGTTGATTAGTCTACCTGGAAGGACTTACACCTGACCTGAAATTCCTGTATTATGAGTATACAATAGTACACTGATTAATATGTTTACTGTTTTAAAGTTCTAATTCCAAGTAATTTTTATTTTCTTAATTAAATCATTGTTGAAGATATTTCATTTTACCGTTGTTGCCCAATATAACTTGAATAAGTATGGAGTTTAAGGTAAATATTTTGGTTAATTTTTAAAATATTTTAATTAAAACTTTGCCTCTTATCTGTTGAGAAATTATATATATTTACACACACTTTACTATATAAAAACTCATTTCTCTCTCTAAATATTGTTTTAATCAGTTTTTATTTTGATTAAGCTTTTCACTAGAAACCTTAAATGAATTTATGGCCTCTTGCCATGTGTTTTTCCAGAGAATAGAAAATCCATTAAGAATTTGTTAGCTTGTGAGTAAAAATATCAGCACATTTGGCTTTGTTTCCCCAAAAACCCCCTTGATTTCCAAAGAATTTGAAAACTGGTTCTCAGTCAAAAGGGAATTTATTCCCAAAAATTGCAGTTAGTTTTAGAAAGAAGAATCATGTATGTGCATGATTGCTATTATGTCAAAGCAATAATCATATACAGTATTTAACTTTTTCTTGTAATCCAAAATAGTTCACCTTTTAAAAAATTAATAATTATTTGATTGACTGGTTTCTCTTTATGAAAATAGTGCTTATATAACTTAATTTTGTTGTGAATCTTGTTTTATGTTTCCATGTTTGGTTGGAAAAGTTTTTATGGTTTCAATCAGATGAATTTTTTTCCTGCAAGAGAAAAGGACATTTATGATATACATTCACATGACATTGAGCTAAACTAGAGCTGTGTAATTGCTCTGGTTGCAAAAACTGGCCTGAGAAGTATCAGAATTGGGGCAAATAAAAGGACAGGAGTCTGTTAAGATTTCAGGTATCTTTACAACCTACTGTGTTGTAAATGGAAATGGAAATGTTATCAGTGTTGAAACCCCAAAGGAAAAATTTTACTTGAGAATTACTGGTTCATTACTTTTTGTTCATCATCTATCAAAAGGAAAGATTCCATGTTTCTAAGTAGTACCATTATTTCATTGTTTTATTCCAGCTCACAACTTCCTGATTTCTTTTATCCCAGATTCATTCTTTCTTCCTGATGGAAAATACAAGCTCTACAGCTAAACTTTCAGATTCATGTGATTCTATTTAGGGAAAGAGATTCTTACAATGAAAAAATGATGGATCATGAATTTTAAAAATATTGTTTTACTGAAATAGGAAGTTATTAGGCAATTCAGTGCTGCTATAAGCATCACTAAAGCATTCCACTGATTTGAGATATCTTAAAGTCAAAACTTGCATGTTATTACACTCTCTATGTATTTTGAAAATGGACGAATAACCTAAATGTAGTGCTAATGAAACACTAGCAATACAGTGGGAAAAATAGTATGATACATGATATGGTTTTGATTATTCAAGTATTTCCTGTTTGCCTGATTTTTCAAACAGTCATAACTTATATTTTCCAGATGCAGAGCCAAGATACTTGATTGTAGTGAGACCAGCACCCATTCCTAATAACAAGAAATCCTGCTCAGGTATTTCAAAAGGTTAAACAATTTTTTCCCATAAAAACTCAGGAGACCCATATTTCAATCGAGAGTTAAGCAAAATATAAATTTGACAAATAAAAAAATAATAAATATACATTTATTATATCATAAAAATATGTACAATTTCAAGACGTGAACCAATCTATTCAACTTTTTTAAAAGAAGAAACCAATGTTAGCAAACTTAGCAATATTTTGAAGAATTATATATTTTTCATGTTCATAAAATCAAACCTATGTTAGCATCTTCCTTTTTTCTTATGATGTAACGAATACTTGGAAACGCACCAAAAGAAGCATCATTCCATTGACATATGACATGCATCCATTTGCTCTGTTGTTTCACAAATCTGAGTAATAGCATTTTCTGCTGTTAATTTAGAGACAAATTAGCCCATGTTTTCACTTAGGCTTATAAACAGTGGGAAACAATTAACACAATTATTCACATGTATGACAATGAATTCTGACAACAAATTACAGAAAAAATTCTTATTTCAGCAGAGTTTCATGTTGCTATAAGTGCTGGAACTGCTGAGCGCTATCTTCCATGGAGCTGCAAATATGCTACTATCCTAATTCTCTATGTTTGCTATTTATGCCAAGAGCAAACAATAACAAAAAAAAACACCAAAAAACCCTTGGCTTTTGTACAGGACAGTCAGTGAAGCTGCCCGCAGAGCAACTGGAAAAGATGAAAGAAAGGTGCTTTTTTACTTTAGCTGCTGAAGGGAAGGGAAAAAAGCAGGAGCTTGGAAATAGGACAAGATGGTCAACTATCTGTTTTCCAGAAAAAAATATCTTTGAAAACTCTGCTTACCTGCAAATCCAATGATCTGAGAACAAGGGGCCACTGCCAATCTTGAATTAGCATGTTTCCTGCATATGAAGCCAGACGAGTAGATCAGACAAGTTTACTGAGCTGAATTGCATTTATTGATTTTGTAGGTCTTTCTAACTAAATGACCTTTGCTTCTTTACAAAATTAAAAACAATACAATAAATACAAAATGTCTTCAGCAATAAATTCTATGCAGTAAATTCTATGCAAAAAAAGCTTTTCTAATTTCCTCTTAGTTCCTACAGGCCATTCATCAATTTAACTCAAGGCTTGCGGGGAAAACTCACATTTTTAAAGGCAAGTGGAAAATTGGCCAAGTGGGAGTCATCTGGCTCAACAGGAGGATATTGTTCCAAAAGGCAGAGAAAGCTTGTCTCCGGGGTCTCACTAAAGCCAACCTTGTCAGAAAACACACACTGGGCAGATACTGTGGGAGAGAGAGAGACAGTCTTCCAGCTAACTATTTGTTATGACATTTAGGGCTTATACAGTAGGTAACTTTAATTTCATCTGGAATCCAACTGGTAACCAGTGGAGCTCATGCAGCAGAGATGTTACAATGACATAGCAAGGCTTGCCCATTATTGCTTCTACGATATGCTGGACTAACTGTCATTAAGGGTAGCCCCCTGTAGAGTTCATTGCAATAGTTTAATCATCAAACAATCACTGCATGGACAGAGTCTCCCACTAGGAATGAGCACAACTGGCAACAAGCTATATCTGTCTGACCACAGCTGCCACCCACTCCTCAAGCAGAAGCTGACAGTCCAGAAATATCCCTAAATTACATCCAATTTATCTAAAATATAAACATACAGTGTTTAAGCAAATGACACAGCATTTGTTGTTTCATAAAAGAAAATAAGGAAGAAAGTGGATAACACATATTATATATGAAATTTGAACTATTTTTTTTGAATGTGCAAGGCAGAAGTCTCCCTTTGTTAAACAAGATTTAGACAAAGAAAAAAGTGGAGAATTTTGACCTGAAAATGAAGGATGTGTATCAGAAAAGAGTAGAGGGAATCATAAAGGTTCCAAAATAATATTCTGCTTAAAAAATGTAGTCAGGCAAATTAAAAAACAAATAAACAAATACAACAAAATGTGATTTGGTGAAAAAAAATAGACTATTCCGATCTCTATGAAAATAATAGGGCTTCAGTACTAAGCTAAAACATTTAAAACAGATGCTTTGTAAAGTGTGTTAGCTAAAATGAAGCACTGCTCTTAAAGCAACTACATCCTTTTCAAGATTCACTGATTGCTTTGCAAGCTGTCCCTAGTTGTCTAAGCATGTCTGTGCAGACATTTCTTCTCAAACTATGAAAACTAAAGAAAGAAGTTCCCTTTCAGTTTTACTGATGCTAATCTCTGACCAGCATTGCTAGGCATTGGCCTCTTTCCGTGAGCAACTCTTGACTCTAATTAATGGTTAATGCTTATTTAGTAGACACTAAAGATTTCACTTTTTGTCTGCTTTTTGCATAACAAAATGGAAGCTATGAGCCAATAGATCTGGGGAATGTGTCATGGAAATAAAACCACTACACATCTTTAAACAACAATAATGACAAAAAAAAAAAACCAAACACCCCAGTATGCCTATTAGCACTACTTACAACTTAACCCAAAATCTTATGAGATTTATATTCTACTCAAAACCTAAGGAATAGAAATCTCATTTTGTTGTTGTTAAAAGATTGACAAATATATTTGTTAACTAGTAATTAACAAGACTTACAAAAGGAGTCTTCATAAAACTAAGCAGTGTTCAAGGAATCAAGAAAAGAACATTTGGAGATGAAGAATTTGGCATGTAGGTAACACACACAAGCACATATTTAAAGTTATGAAGGAAGGATGAATTAGAACTAGATAAATCTGATGACAGATTTATCTGATGTTAAAGTTCAAATTGAATGTGCAATCTACTGTGTACCTACAACGATATATTTTAGAGCTTCATTAGTTTTATTAACAGGCATAAATTCTAATTTCTTAAAATATGAACAACTGCAGCCCTAAATTAGCTACTAACAACTAGAACCCTACGTCACAAAATATAAATTTGTATTTGTAAATTTCTTTTTCTCCTTCAGTTTGGCACTACTCAACTTGCTACTTACGTGACAGTCTGCTTCACCTAATATGGATTGAGTACTGCCTTAATTATTAGAGGTATCCAATTATAACAGGGGTATCTGCAGCAAAGTGGTAGCCAAGATACTGTGATCAAAGTCTCATTTGCTTTTATGTCCACTGTGTGTAGGACACACATGAATTGAGAAATAGGCAGATCTTCAAATGCACTATCACTGCCACCATCTTGGTGGGTTTTTTTACTATACCCTCTGGACATCCTTGACTCATAAAGTGGGGCTCTTTCTCAATAAAAAAAAAATCTGTTGAGCATACAACTATTGATATACAAGACTCATATCAACAGTAAACCAACCTACATATTGCTGAACTTGTTAAAGTTCTAAGCGTAGAAAACTTTTTTGCTTGTGAGGATGCGTCTGTTCACAGAGTTTGAAATGACAGACTTACTCCCCCCCCCACTTTTCCTTATGAATAGTAAAATGTAAATAATGTGCTCTCTTGTGAATGTAGTAGTTGCTTACAAAGAGATATTATGGGTGATATGAACCTTTCCTTATTTGATGAATTTGTGCTGACAATCTAAGTGGTCTTTAAAAAGAATTGGAACTGTGTTCAACTTATTCATGGATAACTTTGATCAAGAATAAAGACTGGACAGGTGAATGGGACAGCTGCAATATTCAAGTTCCAACTCATGTTCCTCAAGTTTTAGTGGCTAGTTGCATTGAGCAGTCATTTCCTATATAAGTCATGTTATCAAATGATGGAAGAACCTTCTTCCATGAGAACAGTATGATTGTTGGCAAGAGAGAGTGATATATACACAAAAAATCCTGCTGTAAACAATTGTATATACCTGTGAATGATCTATGGATGATTGTAGATAGAAAGTGATTTGGCACAGGAATCATTACATTACTTCTTATATGTTGGAATATAGATGTAAAATTATTGCCCAAAGAGGTCTGTAATGAAAGAATTATGAATAATTGATTATGCAGAATAAACAATGTGATCTGGTTTTGATTATCAACATGTTCTATTATAGACATTTTGGAAATAAATACCTGCCTTTGACTGTATCATTTTGAAATACACAATATGTAATCTTCCCATTTTTAAATTAAGTGATTCTAAATTGAATGTAGCTCATCAACTATGGATTTGGATTTCTTCGTCAATATCTAATTTTAGCAATGATGAAAAGAGGTATATTGCATTCTAATGGTTCATAGTATATAGACCATATAAATTTTATATGATAAATTTAGAAGCCTTCTTATATACAGTGTCTTAATATATATATGAATATAAAACACTATGCAATTTGATATTTCTTATGTAGGTAAAACAAAGAAACCCAAACCTCTTCAACTGGTAATAGGCACTTTAACTCCAACATCTGTCTTCCTATCTTGGGGGATATTAGTCAATCCAAAGCATGACTGGACCACAATGAATAACTGTCCAAATGACAGGTAATGGAATGGACTGATGCCATAATTTTTTTCTATAATGCATCTGTTTTATATGCAAAAAATGTGCTACATTCATGACATTACTGTTTGAATAGGTCCACACTATAATAATTAAGTTCTTGCTATGTTTCTTTTTGTGAAGGTAACAATATCTTTACTCTGAGCAACTTTGCCACATATTAAATATATTTAAAAGATAATATGGTATCATGGTTAAGGTTTCAGTCTATGACTTGTGCAGGACCAGCTTCATATCCATCGTCAACCACAAAAATTCACTATGTGACTTTGGACAATCACATCCTCTCCACCCAACATCTCAGCTTGTTGAGGGGGAATAGAACAATAAGAGACCCATATAAATCACTGTGACCACCCACTATTTATATAACAAAATAACTAAGTAAAATTATTTAATTATTATCCTTTTCTAAACTACATTCATTCCGTTTTAGACCTAGACCTCATATATCCACAATATAATTCAGTCCTATAATCCCTGGTGCCCTATACAATTACAAATGTTATCACTCAGCTATCTTTGATGCAATAAATTGAATAAACTTGTAAACAGATTCATATTTTCACTACTGCTAAATGAATGGATGAAGAATAATAAGATCTTCGCAAGAAGTGAATAAAAACAAATTACAAACAGTAAAAAAAGTAAATAGTTGGGAAGATATTTTTTAGAGAATCTAATCAGTACTAATGAATATGCTATATTTTTTTTAAATGAAAGAATATTGTAACAGCACAATAATTTGAGAGTCATTCACACAGCAATGACAATAATTCAGCTAGGAATTTATCATGTGGCCCCTACCTAAGTTACTAATAAGCCTGTGGTTTGTATGCTGATGTAGAGATAGTGCTATTTCAACATATTTGTTCACATAATTTCTATGATGTTTTGAGGCTGATTTTTATCATGTTGGGATTAAATAAAAGCTGCTAGATTAAATAGAGGAATTATCATAATTTATGAGGAAATGTTATATATTTTAATATTTTTATGCCAAAGCCAAGTTCCTAAAATTAAGTTTGCAAAAAAGGTTCTGTTATTAAATATATCTTGATCACTCATGTTATACAGAGAAATAACACTGGCAGATGAGAAAACTAGATTATGTTTTTATGGGAAGTTTACAAAGCTCTGTATTTGCAAAGATATTTACAATAAAATGAAAGAAATAAATAGTTGTTATTTCTATAGACCAAGGGTCTCCCAAAAAACGGCCTGCAGGCTACATCTGGCCCTCTGGAAGCTTCCTTCTGGCCTGCCAACTTCTCCCATGTGCTGTGCTTCAATCCTTTCCAAATAGCACAGGGACAAAAAGTAGGGTTGCATTCACCACTCTTTAGAAAGGAAGATAGGGTTCCCTTGATTTCTCTGGTGGGAGGGGTTGTGAGCCAGCTGAAGGATTACTGGATGAGGAAGGAGAAGCACCTTCCCCTTTAAAATTTGTACTGGCTTTAAGCCAGCTGGAGGGTTGCTTACTTTGCTTGTGAGCGTGGGCAGAAGTGATCTGTGCTACCTTCTCTTTTTCCGTTAATTTGTGAAATTTGTGTAAATGTATTAAAAAAATATTGTGTAAATGTATTGTATTTAAAAAAGAACAGCCTTCATTTCTGGGTTGCACTTCTTCTTGTTGTGCCATATCCGTTATCGGATGTTGGCAATCATGTTGGCGCTCCTGTTTTTATCAGCAGCCGCATGAAAAAGTGCTGCTGAGTTTTGTCCAAACCAGTCCCTTAGATTTTGAAGCCACGATGTTCTTCTTCTGCCTGGACCTCATTTGCCTTCAATCTTTCCCTGGAGGATTAAATGGAGTATTCCGTATTTTTCTGGGTGTCGCTTCACATGTCTGAAATATTCTAATTTTCATTTTTTAATTGTTTTGATGATTTCCCTTGGCTTTCCCAGGTGGCTTATTACCTCCTCATTTCTGATCTTGTCAACCCAGCTTATACGTAACAGCCGCCTGTAAATCCACTTTTCAAATGCTTCTAGTCTCTTCAGGTGGCCTTCTGTCAGAGACCAACTCTCTACTCCATAGAGCAGGGTAGAAAAAATATAGCATCTGACAAGCCTGATTTTCAGTCTTAGGCTTATGTCGTGACTGCAGAAGACCTTTTTCATTTGCACTTATTAATTTATTATTTCTTCAAGTATTTTCTAATGTTTGACATTTTTCTTATATCATTTGTCCGTACAAGCACGGTATTGCTTTTTTTGTAGCTGTCCCATTTATTTTGCTGCTGTTGTGAATCATATCATACTGAGCAAATTAAAACAATTCATTCCATTAAATTTTATTCACTCATTTATTCACTGATTTTTTCCCCCCAGGGCCTTGAATATTTGCAAAATGTCCAATTGGCCCTCAGACTGAAATGTTTGGAGACTTCTGCCATAGAGCATAATGTAGGTCAGCTAATTTAGCAAGGTTGCTAAGAAAACTGTGTGAGGGAGCACTGATCAGATTTGCCTGAGCCTGGATAGTTGAATTGAACTGATTCAAGGCACTTAACTCAATTTAGACAATGAAATTACTCTGTCTAATAACTCAAATCTCACCATCTCAGGTTCTTATTCCCACAATTCAAGAATGTCTGAACTAAAAAGAAAATGGAGTGCACACATAAAGTTTGCCACAACACACAATAAATTTGTATTTTGCTTTTGTATTCTGCATTTTCTTCAGATTGAAAGTTTATGTTTACTGTTATTGACTAGATTTTATACAGTGCGCTACAGAGAAAAGGACAAGAGTAAGAAGTGGATCCTGCAGCTTTGTCCAACTACAGAAACAGTGGTGGATAATTTGAAACCCAACACTATTTATGAATTTGGAGTGAAAGACAATATAGATGATGGGATCTGGAGTAAGAGTTTCATTCACAAAGTGGTTATTCCTGGTAAGTAATTTATAACAGTTTCAAACTTTTACTATTTATTTATTTATTGGATTTTAAGTTGCCTGATTCCAAAGAGAATCCATGTGGCTAATGATTTTTAAATTTTAAAATTTAATTTAATTTAAAAGAGGAACATAACCATATAACATAACCACACATGAATAATACCCAGACTAGATAAACTATCTTCATAGTATCTGCCTGTCCAGTTCAATCTGGCAGGGTTAGCATGCTCTAGGTTCTTTCAGTTAAGCAATGTCATACATTGGGATCCTGGAAGTGTGCCTTCTAGAGTGAAGTTACCCCAAGATGTAGATAGCCATCACCATGCTGTTGTTAGAAGAGCTATGAAGAGCTGAATGAAATACTCTTGGATTCTTCACGTGAACTATTAGTACCACTTTATAAAACCCTAGTAAGACCACATATGGAATACTGTAACCAATTTTGGTCACCATACTACAAAAAAGATATTGAGATTTTGGAAAAAGTTCAGAGAAGAGCAACTAAAATAATCAAAGGCCTGGAGACTAAAACTTATGAAGAACAGCTGCAGGACTTGGGTTTGGCCAGTCTAAAGAAAAGAAAAAAAGGGGTGACATGATAGCAGTATTCCAGTATTTGAGGGGCTGCCACAAAAAGGAGGGGGTCAAATTATTCTCCAAAGCACCAGAGGGCAGAACAAGAAACAATGGTTGGAAGCTAATGAAAGAAAGAAGCAACCTGGAATTAAGGAGAAACTTCCTAACAGTGAGGACAATTAACCAGTGCAACAGCTTGCCTTTAGAAATCGTGGGTGCTCCATCACTGGAGGTTTTTTAAAAGAAACTGGACAGTCACTTTTCTGAGATGATATAAGTTCTCCTGCTTGAGCAGGGGGCTGGACTAGAAGATCCCCAAGGTCCCTTCCAGCTCTATTCTATTCTATTCTATTCTATTCTATTCTATTCTATTCTATTCTATTCTATTCTATTTCTTTCTCGTTCCAGTTGGGTTTCTGTCACCTTGCTATCTTTTATTCCTTATTTTTATTCCTTATATTTTATTACTGAGATGATATAGATTATCCTGCTTGAGCAGGGGGCTGGACTAGAAGATCTCCAAGGTCCCTTCCAGCTCTATTCTATTCTATTCTCTCTTTTTCTTTCCCGTTCCAGTTGGGTTTCTGTCACCTTGCTATCTTTTATTCCTTATTTTGATTCCTTATATTTTACTACTGATTTTATCTTTTAAAAATGTGTTTACTAGTGAGTTGCCCAGGAAGCATACAAATGATAGAGATAGATGATAGCTAGGTAATACATGCATATATGTACACATACATACTATTGGTGGAGGATGTACATTTTATGCCTAAGGAGATTCACATAAATGTGGATTTATATCACCTCAACAATGGCTAGCGATGCTGTAAATTACTGACATGGAAATCTCATGTTTCATTCTCATCACATACAGTAAAAGCTATGATTAGTGGATCTCTTCTTTACATAAAATAAAATCCATATGAGAGTGGAATACAACCACCTCTCATTCATTTACTCTGTTTCACTTTGCCCTATTGCTTTGAAGAGATTTTTACTCCAGGCAGTCGACTTGACCTTTATGAATTTACATTCTGAGAGATTCCATATTTTTACAGATTATTTTCATGCTAGCTTTTTTATTTGAATTTCATCTTTTGCAGCCCAATCTTTATGTGCAATATTTTATGAGTTGGTTCCCCCCCAAATTTTAATATTCTAGTAAGGGAACAATAAAAGACAATATCACTTTTTCTAATGTTGAAACTGTCACGTAACTATCCCATAAGGCCAGTAAGTCTTCATATCTTCAGAGGCATTTCTAATGACCCAGGTGTTTGGAAACCAAATAAAATGAGAACAAGATATTCCACAGATGGAGATATGACACACCCAATTTGTTCTTTATCTTCCTATTGTGAGGAAGCAGTGAGGGCAGCAGTGAGAATCATAATTAATAACCTCTTAAGTGCTTCTAGTATATTTTTATAGTGTCACTTTTCCCTCTACCTATGAAGGCTATTGCAAAGATTCTGATGGCTGCTCCACTTTTTAACATTTTTTTATTTGTAACATTATACAGCCAACTTAAGCACCTGGACTTATAATAATCAATGTATCCACACATTCTCTAGGCAAAGCTAAGGTTCATAACAAGAGACTCTATTTGTTTTTGGAGCAAAAATACCAGTGTTGAATAACTTAAGCAATATTTGGTGGCTTACGTAATTACATTTTTGGAAGACAATATTTTTGGAAGTGAGGCAATTATGGGAGGGATGAGTCTTCAGGTTGCACATTCCTGCCTTTAAATAAGAAAGCTGCAGAGAAATTTATTCCCTTGTACATAACATGATAATGGTACAGGTAATCTTCGACTTTGTCAATTTTCAACCACAAATGAGCCCAAAATTTCTGTTGCTAATCAAGACAGTTGTTATGTGAGCTTTGCCCCATTTTACAACCTTCTTGCCACAATTCTTGAGTGAGTCACTGCAGTTATTAAGTTAGTAACACAGTTGTTATGCAAATCTGGTTTCCCCATTGACTTTGCTTGTCAGAAGGTTGCAAAAGGTGACCACATGACCCAGGACACTGCAACCGTCATAAAGGTGAGTCAGATGTCAAGCATCTGAATGTAAATCACGTGACCATGGGGATGCTGCAACAGTTCTAAGTATGAAAAATGGTCATATTGCTTGTCAGAAGGTCGCAAAAGATGATCACATGACCCCAGACACTGCAACCGTCATAAATACATTCCAGTTATCAAGCTTTTAATCATGTGGCCAAGGGGATGCTGCAACAGTTATAACAGAAAAACGGTCATAATTCACCTTTTCAGTGCCACTGTAACTTAGAATGGTCACTAAACAAATGGTTATAAGTCAAGGACTACCTGTTCTTAAATTTACCAAATGTATAAGCTGTTGCCAACAACATTTTAACTAGTCAGATTAAATATTGTTTATTTCTATGAAATAATAAGTTACCTACAGTATTTAAGACAATGAAAGTGCTCTTTTCATTGCTTATGTATCTGTTTCTCTCTTTTCTTTTTTCATCCATTCTGTTCTATTTTTCCCTTATCCCAGGATGTATTCATAAACCCATCTACTTCTGGTCTTTCCTACAGCTCTTCAAGAAAACCGTGGCTAATAAAACAAAAGAAAAAAGAAATAAAGTGAAATTAGTGAAATACAGAAAAGATTCATTAGTATAACTAAACCTACTATGCCAAATATGCCCATTCCTGTTTATATGGATTCTTGTTGAATCCCATGTTTTAGGATAATATAACACGTTATTGAAAGGGCTGACTATGAAAACTCTTAAATGTTTTAGTTTAGATGAACCCAGGCAATTGATTTTGAAAGCATGAGAGAGACACATCCTTCTTGTTTCTCCAGTTAATAATAGCCTATTTCTGAGCATATATATGTATAGATGCTAGTTATGGCTTATAAAGTTGCATAAAACCTAAACCAAGGTTACTTGAACTTTTGGATTTTTTTCATATGGGCCTATTCAAGTTACAATCTTTGGGAAGTCCTTTCCATTGTGCTAGTACCAGAAATATGTTCAGCAAGAAGATGAGAGAGGATCTTCATACAATGACTGAGCCTAGATTTTGAAACATACTGCTATAGGAGTACACGACAGCCAAACAATAGCTTTTTTATGCCAATAGCTTTTGGCAACTTGATATGCAATTGACATTAGTTTTATGAGATTATTATTATATTTTTTAATGTGTGTGTTTTTGATTATTTTACTTTTTGAATTAGTTACTATTTTATATGCTTATAGCATTGTCTATAGAGAAATGATGGGCTATGAATGTAATAAAGAAGTAAAATAAGAGTACTTACTCATAAAATATTATCCAGTTTAGTTAGGTATATCTCTAACTTAACTGCAGAAATCAGCTAGAGTTTAAATATAGGTTGAGGAACAGGGCAATACATTCATTACATTCATTACAATACATTCATTAAAATTATCATTAACTGTGACAAAAACAATGGGAAGTTGTATGAGATCACATTACATTTGGAATTACAAAATTAATGTGTATATGTACCTTTATATGATTATTGGAGGGTTTAACATACATACATATATATTTATATCAGGTAAAAACAAAGAAAATGGACAGCTCCAGAACAACTACAAGTTCCCTAAAATCCATACACAGGTATGCAATGAAAAATATTTTTATCTTTATTATTTAGCATATTATCTATACAGGTAAATTGCCTGCCCATTGTGGCTGAAAGTTGGGACAAATGTTAAATGAACTTCAAATGGTTGTTAAATGACCAGTCATATCTCAAGTACTACCTGTATGCCATATATCAAATATGAATCTGAATTTTTTCCTTTTTCATATAAAATTTAATAATATATGCAAATACTGGTATTAAATCTTGTTCAGGGAACCTATAAATATAACTCATTTTTCACATCAAAACTATATTCTATCCAATTATAGATCAAGGTGAAGATAAATTGGATTTAATTGGCTTGTTTGTATTTTATATTGAATACATTTTTGATTTTATGAATTATTCAAGAAGATTTTTAGAACTGAAACATTCTAATTATTTTACCTTTGATATGTATAAGATTATGATATTTTCCTTCTCTTATTTTTATTTTTCTGAGTATGGACTAGTATCTATTTTAATTTATCAGTAAATTACTTTTTAATTTTAATTTTATCATAATTAAGCTATACCATTACAATATTTTAATATGCAGACATGTAGGCAGTATTAATCTATAAGCATCACTTATAGACTTCAACATTTACCTTTAGATTATTATGTATTTAATGCTGTTGGAGACCATTGAAAATACCACCTTGGAAATGTCTGATGTTCAGTGTCCTGGTTCAAACACATCAACTCTATTTACAAGTGGTTCATTGACAAATAGTATTCCAGTTAATTATAAAAGCAACTATTGTACATTATTAGCTATGCAGGCATATATGCCTTGGAAAATGTAGTTTAGACTTTAGCCCCAAGTCAAGCCATAGGAGACAAACAGAGCATAGATTCAGGGAAGTGGAGCATAGCCATGACACAGAAGAATCCACTACACTCTGGGAATCAAATCCCAGAAAAATTAGTCAGCTGACCCAAGTCAAGGACCCACGAGTTAAGGAGCAGAACAGGAAGCATGAACACAGGAACACAGATCTGACATTGGTGAGTTGTTTCAAACATATGATTTCCAGATAAGTGGAAGTTGCTTTTAAACAGCCCAAGTAGATATACGGCTCAGTTATGGTCATTGGCATCTTCTCAAGGAGACAAGTAGATCACATCATAAAAGTTAATATGAAGCTATCCAAAATCTCCTAAATGGGAAATTCTAACTAAACTGATAAGAGAGTTCCATTTATTTAGATATCTTGAGGGCTACAATATGGATTTTCTTTTCTTTTCTTTTCTTTTCTTTCTTTCTTTCTTTCTTTCTTTCTTTCTTTCTTTCTTTCTTTCTTTCTTTCGCTAGAGTTTAAAGAAATTTCCTGCCATGAGTCATCATCTTGTTAATATCAGAAGCTGAATTCCTTCACACTGATTGTAATACAGTGATTCGTTTAATTTATAATATCCTAGTTAATTTACAGGATAGTTAATTTACATGCTACTGCATCCTAATTAATTTGTTTATTAAGAAAATTTATATGGCCATCCAACTTACTCTTGGTGACTTGGGGCAGCTTACAAAGATAATAGGATAGAACAAGACAGAAACCAATAAACCCCCACCTCATATTAGCAATACACTTTGAATTTAAATATATTATATATGAATAGTCCAGATTTTCATCTCATGATGGGCTTGGTATATTTAGAGTTAGAACACTGGTGTCTGAAAATTGTATCTATGTTTAAATCTTTCTCCCCCTCCACCCCAAATATTTCATATGTAAGAGCAGAAGTTCTTTTTAGTTGTTAGCAATGGGTGTAGCTTCTACTTGCAGAGAAAGGAGCAAGAATAAGCATGCTACCTTCATTCTCTCTTAGCTGTCATTCAGTTTTTCCTTTATGAAAAGTATCTGTTGATAGATAAGTTTTTATAATTGTGAAAGCTCTTTGTGCAGTTAAGAATTGTTAAGTACTATAGATTCAAGAAGTATTTTTCTACTGACAATCATGTTCTATGAAAAAAGGGAAGGCTATTGAAGATAGGATTCTTGGGTCGGGAGAATGAGATAGAATTAGCTTGTTTGTTCTTTTTCTCCTTTTAATGCATACACTAGCAATATTACAAGAATAACTAAAGATAGATTTTAAATAGTCTGAATTGCAAAGTAGGTTGCAATGAGAAATTTTGGTTGATTCAGAATTACCTAATGAACTTTATACTGGGCTGGGCACTCATACCTGATGTTCCCAGTCCTAGCTCATCACCTACTATATTCTATTAAAGTAGTTTTATGCAGTATCAGCATGTACATATTTTTGTTAAAAGTACATCAATTTTACATTTGACCGGTTTGAGTGCAAATTGAATGGACAGCATCTGTTCTGATAGTTTCTTTATTGTCAATAGGTTCAACTGTAGATCTATTGCTTACCTTCACTTAATGACCAAATTTATACCCAATGGCATATCAAAGATTGTTTGGTTTGGGGCTTAGCATAATATGACCAGTCATTTCAAGCATTATACTGTACAATAGTTAACTTTTATTGGCAAATGACATCTGGAAATTGCGGTTTGCTGAGATATACATTCTAGCTTGGCTAATATATTCCCTTGTCTGAATCCAGAATCTGACATTCCCAGCCTATTACTCATTTCAATATTCCATTAATGTTTGCTAAGTGTTTGCAGATCAAGTGAGGAAAAAAATACAGGTAGTCCTCGACTTACAAAGGTCACTTACTGTAGCAACCATTTGAAGTTATGACAGACACCCCCCCCAAAGCTATTTACAATTTGGTTTCAAGTTACAGCTTCTATAGCACTCTCACAGTTCTTGTGATCAACCACAGAGACACTGCAGCACAATCCCTCACCTATTTTCACCTCCCATCTTGCCCCATTGGGTCCTACAGGCACTTTGCCTTCTTTGCCACCCCACTGGGTTCCACACATTCCTCCCCACCTCAGTCATCAATTGCTCAGTTAACTTCTCCAGACCTCAGATAGGGAAGGAGAACAGGCCTCTCCAATGGTCACATAGCACAATCCCACAAGCGGCCATCTGCTTGCGGGATTTTGCCATGTGGTCCAGCAAAGGAGCATCCTGTTCTCCTTTCCAACTTCCTGAGGTCTGGAGATCTTCAGAAGATAAGTGACTGATTATGAAGAAGTAGCTGGATACCCAAGTGGCTGTGTGGATCCAAGGGTAGGAAGCAAAACATGGGATATCCAGAGGGTAGGGGGGACCTTGGGAGGTCTGAAGCAGGTGGGCTGATGCTGCACTAGGCCTCCCAGTTTTCACCCACTGTTGAGGCACTCTATGCTCCACTCAACAACCTGTTCATTCATTTAATTATTAGGGAGAATAGGGATGAGAGGGGATAGTTTAGTGAAACAGTTCATAGATAATCAGTTTGATCAAGCCATTATTATTTTACTTAAATGTAACATTGATTCAGGTTTATACATGGCTTGTTCAATAAATAGCTAAAATGACCTTCCCTTATTGTATGCAAGTGATATAAATTGTGAGAATTTTATGAGTACTTATTAAAAGGATTGCAATGAGAATGTTGACTTTTAAAAAAAGAAATGGAATTAATTTAGTTTTTATTAATTAGTTTCATCTTCCATTGCATTTTTCTCAAAATATATTGTTTGTTCCTGACATATAATGAAAAAATGAATTTTAAAGGCTATATCCTTACTTGTGATGGATTTTCATTTTGGGTATAAAATATCCTGGCAATTAGGTTAGGTTAGTCCTTAAGGATCCATAGGATTTTTTTGTTCATACAATATCAGTTTAATGCAGGCCAAAAAAATTAAAATTTGGATGTTGTGGGAATGAATCCAAAAAATCATTCATTCATTACACTAAAATATGAGTTGTTATTTAACTATGAAGTATACATTGAAAGTTTTGTTTCTGGGGCCTCTTTAAAGGGTGATAACAAATTCCAAACTGCACACCTGGGGGACAGTTCCATCCAAAATATAATTTAGCCATTGAAGAAAAAAAAGAGGTTTTTCTCAACCTTGGCAAATGTGTGGACTTCAATTCCCAGAATTCCCCAGAGAACACTGCTCTGGATTATCAGCACTGGACAAAAAACAATGGAAAAATATTTTTTTCTGTTATAGGATTGTGAGGGGAATAGATGTGGAATTTCTTTTCAAATGAACATTCTGAGCAAGGCCTTTAAGAATCTTTAAAGTTTGGCAACAACTGTTTCAATGCTTAGATTACAATATCCTTGCACCATTTTTATTCTCCGGTGCCCTTCAGCAGCTGGAATGGATATTTATGACATGTTTAAAACACTTCATAAAACATTTACTATGAAATAAACAAAATATTTTAATTAAACTGTGATCTGATGCACTTGCTGTGCATATGAAAGTTACATGCACTATTGAGAAAAACAAATTTTAGAAGGAAAGAACAATATTTGTATCTTTAAATATACAGTATATATAATGATATTTCATGTATCCATTATTTTTTAACTTTTCTTCAGTTTATACCAGATTCAAAAACTCTTGTTCCAGTTAAAGTAATCAAACAAGGTATTGTGGGATTTTGTGTGCTTATATTTATAGAATAGAAAGAATGTGCATGAAAAAAAGAGTGTTGCTTGTATGCAATTGAAGCAAAAATCCATATGCTTAACTTAAGTATGCTGGACATATTCTAAAATACCAACTCTTTCAGCAAATTCAGTTGTTTCAGACAATTCCCCTTAGAGTGAGAGAAATCTTGCATTTGTCAAGTTATATAGCAGAGTTTGTCATCCTTGCAGAAAATTAAACAAAATCTGGATTGAGTTCATCCTCTCCCCCCACCCCCAGTGGTTTGGCAACAAAGCAAGAATCCCTCCTTATGTAGCCTTAAAAAGAAGAATGAATCAAGGAAGGTTATACAGAATAACTATCACAAGCTTTTTGCAAATAAAACTGTATTGATATCAATATATTTTACTTTAATCATTCACAAGGTGCTGTGCTCTTTATCAAGTAGGTTATTAAAAACATTCTAGACACATTTTATGAGTGATATAATTTGGTATGTTTCTTTCCCAATCAACTCCCCCTCCCACAGTTTTCCACTTAGCAAAAATGGTATACAGAAATACAACAGTTTTAAATTTAATTTAATTTATTTAATTTAAAATATTTATATAGCCACACTTATATTTAACAATTAGATAGGTCAAAAAGTTTTTGAAAGCTTGGAAGGTGAGATGATGAGATGGTGAGATCTACTCCAATTTTGTATATGGTCATTATATCAGGAACCCAGACATCTGGTATTAATGGTGAATATTTTATAAGTATGCTCAAATTTAACTAGAAATAACACATACCATATTGTTACATACATAAAGTATCAGGATCCTTTAGGAACAGAGATCTATCCCATTGATTCACTCTGGCCCCATCTCATTTGTCTTTTAATGAGCTGGCATCCTTATACATTCCTTTAGCCTGCCAATATATTTCCTTGATGCAATTTTCCTATTCATTATATTTGATGATAGAAGCTGTGTTGAAAAAGGTTGGTTTTAAGGGTTGCATACCAATTTAAAGAAATAATCCATAATTACTCCACAACCAAGTTATTAGTTCCCCTTTCACATAGGTGTTTCTCAAATATAGTTTTCCCCTTCATTTTTAGAAATTTCATTTGCAACATAAGCTAACAGGTACATTTTGTATTATCTCCAAGCTCTTCAAACATACTTTGGACCTGGTGTAAATCTGCCAAATCTTTTTCATTAAAATCACCTTGATTTTTTAGTGCCCTATCTGCAGTTTCTGAAGTTTCTTTGACTGGTAGTTTTTCACCTTCAAATCTACATTTTCATTATATAATGTTACATAATACTAAATATTGTGTTTCATAATTTCATAAATAACATTGTAGCTTATAAGAACCATTCAGAATCTTTCATATCAACCATAGTATGTCGGGTTTATAACATTAGAACAAGTATATAGATTTCTAACAGATTCATTCTTATTATTTCCACAGTTCTTCAAAATATTACACATCGGACACAGTCTGAAATTCTACAGAGGCCTCCTTTATCAGGACCAATATTAGGTAATTAAGATGGTCATTATTTTTATAGGCTTACTTTCACAACTTATTTTTGGGAGGCTCTAAATGGATTTAATAGCTAACCCAGTTCTTATTAGCTTGTACTGCATTTGATCATGGAGCTGTATGAAAAAGAAATTAAAAATAGATTGTTAAGATTTTCAGTAATTGGTAGTGCCAACTTTGCTGGTAATAATAATACTTTATTTTGTTAGCATTATCACAACTTGAATAATATCAAAATTTTGTTTTGGGATTCTGCTATATCCAGAAAATAGGTAAAGGGATTTTAAAAAGCTGATGTATACTTCAAAACTTCATAAAACCTCTCTGGGGTGGTAAAGGATGTCTATTATTGGCGGTTATTGAAAAATAAATACATCATTTTCTATACTTATAAGATGATGCTATAATCCTTTTCCTGCCTCAATTCCTCCAGCTGACTCTTCCTACTGCTGATACTAATCTCTACAGAACTGAAAACTTAGAAATTTTTCTAAATAATTAACTGATTCATTTATCCGTATGTGTAGTGCATCTTATTGTTCCTGATTTCAATGCAACAAAACAGAAACCTCCATCTTCCTCAAGATTCAATATATTTGAAAAGCCAAAACAAATTCTAGGTAAGTAGAAAATTTTGAGTGAATAGAATTTTTCTCTCGTTCACATAAGACCATGCCCATGATGCAAAATGGCAAACAAGCTGTTCGATGTATACTACTCAGCTACCAAAAGGCCACCTTACTTACCTGGTTAACTAATCACAATTTATGCTGCCTAAAGACATTGGACCCATCACTTTCTTCCATCTCTAGGAAGAAGGTAATGGCAAACCACTTCTGAAAAACTTGGCAAAAATATTGCTGGGACTTGTATAGGCAGTCTTTGAGACATTGGCTAGAAGAAGAAAAAAGGATAAAGATAAAAATATAAATATACAGCTGCTAGATCTATGCCCAAATAGCCTTGTTTCATTACTCTGTATTGTAGATTGATATTATAACAATAAGGGGAAAGACTAACTTCTGCTATGACTCCAGAATTAATTAACCTCCAGACAGTACAAATTGCTATTTAATGAGGTCTTTAAAAGTAAGTCTTTGTAGATAAAGTCCAACTGAGTGCAGTTATGATTGTTTCTGATGTTCCAAATCTTATTTGCTGCTAATGACTTTTTCCATTTAAGAATCCCATGAACTGAATGTTTCTGATTATTACCTGTAAAAGTTCCAAAGTCTATTTGCTCAATGTTTCTATGTGATAAATGTGCTGAAATAAATTGCTTAGGTCATGATGTGCTTCAGAAACTAATTCAATTGTTTCCCTATCATTATATTTAGGGAATCAGTGTAGACTTTAAAAAAAAAGTAAACTAAACTAAGACTCATAAATGGGAATGTACATAAAGTTTTGATATGGTTTTGTGTTATAGTTTATTTCGCCTACAATGTTTGTCTCAAATTAATATAATTTTGTTTAGATATATTATTTATTTGATGTTTAGTTCATTTACTATGGATACTGTTATCCTGGACAAATTCAGCAAAATGTAGCAAAATAAAGCGTGTGGTCCTACATGGAGGGAAGTGTGGGGTGCCCCAGGGCTCTGTTCTGGGCCCAGTGCTCTTCAACATCTTCATCACGATTTGGACGAAGGGATAGATGGGGAAATCATCAAATTTGCAGATGACACCAAGAGGGCAGGAATAGCCAACACTCCAGAAGACAGGCTTAGGATACAGGAGGATCTGGACAGACTTGAATACTGGGCACTATCTAACAAAATGAAATTCAATGGTGAAAAAAGTAAGGTTCTACATTTAGGCAAGAAAAACCAAATGTACAGGTATAGTATAGGGCAGTGATGGCAAACCTTTTAGAGACTGAGTGCCCAAATTGCAACCCAAAACCCACTTATGCATCGTCGGGTGCCGGGTGGGTGTAGCCCATTGGATGGGCATGGCTGCGGTGGTAACAGCAGACTGGGTGGGACTAAAAAGTTCAATCAATCAATTCCAACTTTGCCAACATCTTTTTTTTCCTGCAAGAAGTTGAAATTGACTGATTGATTGAACCTTTTTTTTTGTACATGGCGGCGGAGGCCTAAAGCAAAAAGGTTTTATAAAACCCAGCTGAAGGCCTAGGACTGGGGTGACGGCGCGCATGCCCACAGAGAGGGCTCTGAGTGCCGCCTCTGGCACCCGTGCCATAGGTTCGCCACCACTGGTATAGGGGGTGCCTTGCTCAATAGTAGTAACTGTGAGAGGGACCTCAGAGTCCTAGTGGACAATCACTTAAATATGAGCCAGCAGTGTGCTGCAGCTGCCAAAAAGGCCAACACAGTGCTGGGCTGCATTAACAGAGGGATAGAATCAAGATCACGTGAAGTATTAATACCACTTTACAATGCCTTGGTAAGGCCACACTTGGAATACTGCATCCAGTTTTGGTCACCACGATGTAAAAAGATGTTGAGACTCTAGAAAGAGTACAGAGAAGAGCAACAAAGATGATTAGGGGACTGGAGGCTAAAGCATATAAGGAAAGGCTGCTGGAATTGGGTATGTCTAGTTTAATGAAGAGAAGGACGAGGGGGGACATGATAGCAGTGTTCCAATATCTCAGGGGCTGCCACAAAGAGAGAGTCAAGCTATTTTCCAAGGCGCCTGAAGGCAGAACAAGAAGCAACGGATGGAAACTAATCAAGGAGAGAAGCAACCTAGAACTAAGAAGAAACTTCCTGACAGTTAGAACAATTAACCAGTGGAACAACCTGCCTCCAGAAGTGATGAATGCTCCAACACTGGAAGTTTCTAAGAAGAGACAGGACAGCTATTTGTCTGAAATGGTATAGGGTTTCCTGCCTGAGCAGGGGGCTGGACTAGATGACCTCCAAGATCCCTTCCAACTTTATTATTATTATTATTATTATTATTATTATTATTATTATTATTATTATTATTATTATTATTATTATTATTATTATTATTATTATTATTATTATTATTAAATAAACAATTTACACCAGAACATAGACTGAATGGTTAGTTATCATTTGTCTTTCTATTTTCAAATATGTACACAAAGAAAGCATTTGCCTGTGATAGATATATTTAGCAAAAACATAAGTTTTCAAAAAGCATTTAAACACACTTTAATTTTTTTTAAAGCTTGCATCAGAAAATGTATGTAGAAAAACCTTTGAAAGTATATAAAATAATTTTTTTGCCTGGGAAATTTGCATTAAAAGTACTTAACCTTATTTGCAGATCTAGGTGAAATAACTTTCCTTGTAAACTAAGAATTGCATTCTTGCTTTATGCAGCTAAGAACAAAACTCAAGAATGGCTCCCAGAATCAAAGATATCAGAAGTCAAAGAAATCACCCCCAAATCCCAGACTGGTGATTATTTTGCTCTTTCTTTCTACATAGTGATTTGACAAGAATTTTTATTTATTTATATTGCGCTAAAATTATCTTACATTAATCACATCACATTATTTAGTAAAATATATACTGAGACACATACATTTTCCTGATTTTTATTGCTTTTTAATTCAGTGACTTCCAGAGAATCACTGAACATACACTAATCTGTGTTTTGTGTAATCTTGTGCAATTTTATGAAGTTTTAATTCAGAAGGTAGCAGTTAAAGATGTGTGAGAAGAGAACAACTTTTCGCTTCTCACATTGTGGAAAGAAGCAGGTTTCCTCAAGTTGGTAAGAAATGCAGTGAGTGGAGATAAGAAAGAGTGATGCCATTTTTCTGATTATCCAAGAGCTGGAGATCTGATAGCAGCAGACCAAACTGTTTTCTTCTTTTCAATAAATCTGCCTTCCTTCTCCATGGATTAGACAGTGCAGCATAAAGTGCATTTTTGTCCATTGGTGGACAAGGCTACTGGACACATGTCAGAAATAGTATTCACCCAGTCCCACTGATCAGGCATTACTGAGGCAGTAGTGTACTGTAAACATCCAGGCACTGCTTTCAGTTTCTTTAACCAGTAGGTGGAGGATCATGTGTGGGCCAGATGCTACCCAGCTCTTCATGTTCCTGACCTACTGTTGGATGCCTGCTATTATGAATTCTGGGATATTGTGGTTCTGGGAAATTACTGTGGTTTGTTCTCATGTCCTATAGCCACTTTGCACTGGTGTTGTTTGTCTTCTCTTTCTCCAATATGTTATTACAGTACTTGTTCATATAGTGGCTGGATAGTATAGTAGTTAGAGGTATAGTAGTTAGAGTGTGACCTTTGATACAGGAGACCATAGTTTGAATCCCAGATGGTACCTACCTTGCCAGTAGAGATCCTGGGGCAAAGACTCCCTAATGCTTTATCTGCCTAGCTCAAATATAAGAGTAACATAAACTAGGACCTCATTAGATCCTGGGGAACAAAGAGAAACTGATGATGAGTGAGCTACTGAAACAAACATAGATGAATGAGACGAGAGTATCTGAATCTACTACAACAGTAAACCTAAACAGCTGTACATATTCCCTTTTGAAAATGAATTTAGAGACTAAGATCAAGGCAACTCTGAGAAGTTAAGACAGTTGATGAATTACAGATGGGTGTGAAGATTTAGGGTAACACTCAGCTAATGAAAAAAAATACAAGGGTCTGACTCCTTCTGAAGCCTTATATGATAAATCATACAGATGAAATACAAGGTTGTGGGCCTTGTAACTTATTTGATTACTTCTTTCTTGAAGGCCAACCTAGGAATGACCTTAATCATACAGTTTCCCTTTGAGTAAATATTCTTTCAGAACCTGACTGGATGTTTATATGAGATCAAGCTCACTTCAGACCCAATTCCAGTAAATTTTGCACTGGAAAAAATAAAGCTGCCATTTGAACAAACAACTATTTTTCTAATGCAGATTTCTGGTTTAGAATGGGGTTGTAAGAGGGAAAATGAGGTGAACTATCAAATCTAGGCCAAATATCAATTTGCACTTGAGTCCCCTGGTTTAGTAAAAAGCCCTTAATGAGTGTTAGAGCTTTTAGTTCTCGCAGAGGATGAGTCATTTTTGCTTTTTTATTAAGTGTGAAGGTACTATAATCACAGTCTGTCCTTTATACATTATTTATCAGAATACTTGAAGAGTATGGGCTTGTAATATATTGTGCTGCGTGCTTTTAAAGCCACATATAGTATTTTATATCACACCTGACTTGCTATCAGAGTGCAGGTTCAGAATTTAGTTTCTTGTTTTAGCAGTTCATTTTTTTCATTTTTATAGTGCCACAAACTTTACAAATAAATAAGACTGCTATTTCAGGCTTTTTGTGCTCCATTTTCAAGCACTCAGAATTATTTGATTTCAGAGAGTAGGACTGACTTGTTAGCTACAACCTTAATCATATAGAAAAAAACACCTTGGAATTGAGCTTAACATTTGATAGCTACATGGGACATAAGTGTTCATTTCTTAGCAACAGCAATAAAATAGTTTGACAGTGCTTTTGAAATGTTATTCAGTTTCTTAATTTAGTTTACAAACCAGGGAATATGTTGGTGATATTCTATCCAAGTACTACTAACTAGCTTAGCTTTCAAGCCCAAGTACAATCTAATGTATTTTATTAAGAGGAGCATGTCTTTCTTAGATTTAAACCATAATTTAGCTTACTGATAAGGCTAAACTTGATTTACACTAATAGTTTTTCTCTCTCTGTCTCTCCCTCCCTTTCTCCTTCTTCATAAAACTATGGTTGAACAAGATTTGGAAAAGAGTAAACCTACAGCTGCTGGTGTTTCAAAAGATTCTACAGTCAATCAAGGTAACATATTATTTCCATGCTTTATTTTGCTGTTTGGAATTAAAATTAACATGTACTGAACTGAAACTGTGCCACAATGATGCACTGCTTTTTTTTCAGGCTATGAGGTGCTATTCAGAAATAAATTTCTAATTAAAGCATTGGTCAACTTTTTGAATAATTGTGAGATTGTGCCCAAAATAGCTGCATAGAAAAGTGCATAGTAATGGCACATAAAAACAGTACATTGTATAACATTATTCAGTTTTAATTTGTGGTATTTTAAGAACATAACTGCAGGTGCTACGTTGACAGAAAGTAAGGAAAGGTTTTTCAGTCTGGTTCACTTTATATAAGCTGGAAGTATATGTAGTTCATGGGCAATAGTTCTATTGGCTCTAAGTTCTGAGGCCTGTAGTTCTGGCATATCTGGAAAACATCTGGTTGTGAATGGCTAATGAAACAAATAGTTCTTATAAAAATAGCCTTACATTTTTTTAAAGCTTCGGAAATGAAATTAAATCTTCAAAGCCCAGAAATGAATCATATAATAAGTTCATGAATATTTTACATTTATTCAAATATAGTTCAAACAATTATAAAGACTGCTAATCAAAGCCCTTCCCAGTTTATATTCCAAAGAGAAGATGGTAGTTAAGGAAGGGAGTTTGGGGGTGTTGATGGAAGGACTTGGCAAAAGGGGATGTCTCCTGTCAATGAATAGAGTTATGAATATAGATGAATTTAGATATTTAAGTGAACCTGCTTATATCAAAAAAAGTTATTTAACAAAAAAGTGACTATTCCATTTCTTCAGAAATTTAAAGAATAAAAAGAGCAAAGGAAAAGAATTTTTTGAACTAGAAAAAGGAGTGATGATAGTAGCAGGTGAAATAGATTTTCCAAGATTAATGACGTTTCACTTTAATTTTGAAGAACAAAGTATAATAAGGAAACCTATCGTTAACAGAGGAGTGTGTAACACTTCCCAGTAGTGCAATCCAATGTTTGTTTATTGAAAGGTAAAACACACTTTATTCAAAGCTAATTATTCCCTAGGAAAACATATTTCCTGTGTCTTTTTCAGGGATATTTCAATAGTAAGATTTTGAAAAATATTCTGTCATCTAATGTTTCTTTATTAATTGCTCACTGAAATATTTCCATTTCCTTTATCAACTGCAACATAGCATTTGGAGCAATGAAATGAAACACAAAGTAATGTGTGAATCCCTGCTTTGTTTGAAGTATGCCATATATGTGGTCACAGTATAATTCCTATCTAAAGAAAAGGTATTACTTTTTATTCCTTTTAGCTCACACTGAAAGTGAACTGGAATCTTCAAAACCTAGCAAAGCTCCTATGACTGAAATGCCACCTGTCACATTGGGTAATACTTTGTTTACACAATTATCATTGCAAAGCTACTGGATGGTGCTAATATGTATAATACAAACATGATATTTAAATCAATTAAATACCTTGCATTAATATACCTTTTGATTTTTGATATAGTCTTTTTTTATTCCTAGAAACTACATAGATAGATTTTTTTCCCTTCACCATCTACCCCTAATCTGATCTTTTAAGTGTTTTAGCAATGCACTCTTCACTATTGTAACTGAGTCCATCTATCTTGTTACTAGTCATCCTCTTATTTTTTTTTCTTCCACCTTTCCCAGAATTATGGAGATCTAGATCTTCAAATAATATGTCTAAAATAAAATAATTTGAGCCTGATCACTTGTGTCTTGAGATTCCATGGTCTTTGCCATCATTGTTGGCTCTGATTTTGTGAAGAAATCTTCAGTATCCCCCCAGAATTCATGTTTCATGATAACTTTTTTTAAAAAAAACATTAGTTAAAAGTATCACCATGAAAATTAACCTAGCTTGGAATTGAACCTTTTGCCTTTCAGTCTTTACAACTAATGCTACTAGTACTTCATTTATCTTACTTAAAAAAAAACTTCTTGGTTTTCCTAAGCCATCTTTGCTATTAAACTAATTAACAGTGTACAATGTTGTGGCTTTAAGAACGCCATTGAAAAACCACTAGCAGAGTTTACTCTTGTTTTCTATTTATGGTAATTTTACTCATCATCCAGTTTGGTTATAAAAAGGATTGGCTTTATTTTCGTAAAGGAATGGCCACAATCCAACAGACATTAAATATGATTAATCTTACTGAAATAAATCTTCACCATGATGAATCACTCTATTGGATTGTAGTCAATATATTTTTCAATTGCATTTTAACAAAACAAAATGTTAAAATTCTCAAAATACAAGCGTTTACAAGTTGGTGAGCAACAGGGTCCTTTACGTCCAGTCACATATTTGTTTTTATTAGCCATTGGTGTCTTTGCCTAACCATGCATATTACCCTCTCTAGCATCCTGTACAGATGCTTAGACAGATAGTCCTCAACTTACAATTGTTTGTATAGTGAATGCTCAAAGTTACAAAGTTCCTATACAAAGGGACTTACAGTATGACCCATGCCTCAAGTTATGGATGTTACAGCATTCCTCAATGAGTTGGGACAGATAGGGTGAGGGAGTTGTAGGCAGTTGCTTACTTTATTGAGACACCAAGCCTGGAATGGTTTGAATTGGGATTGATACTCACTTAACAAGTATAATTCTTGGTTAACAAGGACAACTTGGACTTCCAGGATTGCAGTCACTAAGCAAGATGCAATCACATGGCATTTTGCTTTACAACTGCATCACTTAGCGATGGAAATTCTGGTCCTAATTGTGATCATAAGTCTGTTTCCCTTAGTCTGATTTAGTAAAAATGTTTATATCCTCATTATGTACCGGTAAGTAGAGAGTGTGTAAAATATAAGATTATGTCCACTATATTATGTCATTAAATCATAAGTATTTTTTAAGATTTATAAAATCATATAGTGGCATTTCTTTTTTTTTCTTTTTGTCTTTTAATATTTAGATCTGCACAAGTTTCTAGGAATTCCAAAAGCAAGACCATCTCCTACACCTCACATGCCCACAGAATCATCGGGTAAAGATGATTTTTTAAATATTATTTTAATTATAGTTTTGCTTTAAAATTATTCAAAAGGATTAGCATTCTTGGATTAAAGTCCTAGAACCCCATCTTGATAATATTTAAGATTTTTCTTTAATCTTAAGAATAGATTTAGTCCTTATATCATAAATCCTTCAATTGGCATTAAATTATGTCCCTGAAGACTTACTGTAGAACAGTCATAATTTTGCAATATAAATTTGTGCCAATGTTTTTGTAAAAACATGACCATTTATTTTACTTTAGTTTTAAAGAAAATGCAACCAGTTCCTTCAGAATCCGAAACACCTGTTCTAAAGACTATACAGACAAAAGCAGGTAATAATTTTTCTCCAATATTACATTCGAATAATGCAATTTAGAGATAAAGCTGTTTTGTATATGTTCAAAGAATATTTAGCTAAAGGCACTTCCATTATGATGACTCTATTTCTGACTCAGTTCCAGTATAGCTAAAATTACAGTAAAACCTCCTCATTCTCTATGTTCAAGCTTGGAAAGTTTAAAGACTATTGTGGATCATTTTCAAATTGTCTCTGAAAAATTGGGGAGTAGAAATGAAAATGCCCCACTCATCAGGTACGGAAATGAAATATATTCCTAAATATAACACAGTTATCCTAGTTGATTCCAAGACAATATTCAGAGTATGTGGATATACAAAAATACCCTGTCTTTGAATTGTGTTTTGTTAATCAAGCCATAATGGCATAGTTCACACACATAATACTAAATCATAATGGGAGAGTCTCTACATCATGCTGTGACAAAAGGAAAAATTCACATTATGGTTTATTATTTTGCATGAGGCACAAAACTCGTATTTAGGTTTAAGCATCAGGAAGTTGGAGCTGAAACGAAAGAGGCCTTCTTAGAGAAGGTCTTTTTGGGAAGGTATTTGTGACTGAATGTATCAGACAGGATTAAGACATTGTATAGTGTGAGGGGGTTTTTGTAAAAGAGAGTGTGTTGTAATTTATTAAATGTATTTTAATAATATGTTGGTCTTATTATAAATGGGCCTCCTCTAAAAGGATGAGGGCTGTGATGTTAGTTTTGAACAACATGAATATTAAACTAAAACTGTACTTTTTCTCCTGCACAAACAGCAACTTCAGAAAGGTCAAGTTTTATGAGAACATTGATAGAGAGAGGATCTTTTAAACTCAGATAATATATGTTACAGACACAATATTGTCAAAGATAAAAAATTTAATCCACAAGATTAACTTGTGGATAGCTAACCATAAAGCTATTTTTATTGGATAAAAACATTTTAAAAATCGTCATCATAAATTTAAAAATTTAAAGGTGTTTTTTTTCTCTCAATTTTTCTTAACTCCTTTTGATTCATTAACGAATTGATATTAGAAAGAAAGCCTGTCAGATTTTACTGCTTAGCTTGTTATTTATTTCAAGTAAATTTTCTTGGGACACTTCAATAAATATGTCCAAACAATATATTTAAGTGTTTTAGTTGTATGAAATAAAAATGTTATAAAAATGTTTGTTTTTTCTATAGGAAACTATTTGGGTGGCCTGCTTATGAGTTTAAAGTTTATGTAAAGGCTTCTTTGTTAAAATGGGTATTATATTTATCACCACACAAATAGTTCTAAATGTATAATCTGAATCTATCTGCAAATAGGATAAATGCAATTCCTTCAGCCAAAAACTATGATTCATGCAATTTTTGCTAATAAAAACTCTTAGGTTATGTCCTTTCTGTTGGCAAAAAACCATTTTTCTAAGTTAGCATGTTTGTAAACGGATTAATTAGCAGCATAAATCAAATATGTTTTGTGCATACATCAGGAAACATTTTAGTTCATCTTTTTTTAAGATTTCCCTATTTTTGACACTTTTTCCTCCAAATAATATTATAATATTATAGAGTGTTATTATTATGGTTGGTCACACACAGTTAGACAGATATTTAGACTGGATTTGGCACTCACAATATAAGAAATAAGAGGGACAAAAAGATGCATATGAAAAATGTGAATCACAGAGCTGGAAGGGATCTTGGAGATCTACTAGTCTAATGTCTTGCCCAATGAAGGAATCCACATACTATCCCAGACAAATATCCATCCAATATTTTCTTGAAAACTTCCACTGATGGAGCATCCACAATTTCAGGAGGTTGTTTGTATTGCTTAATAGGTCTCATAGTTGGAAAACTTCTTTTCTCAATTTAGGATCTGGTTCAGGCACTATGGAGAGTAAGCCACACCTTCTGTCCTGTAGCATTGTATCATGTACTGGAAGATTGCTGCCATGCCTCCTCTTAGCCTTTTCTTCTGTAGGCTAAACATATCAAGTTTATTTAACCACTCTTTGTAGAATTTGGCCAAGTCCCTTAACCAACTTTTCTGTCTTCTTGGTATTCTTTATAATTCCTTAGCACTATCTTTGTATTGTGGCAACTAGAAATAGCATTCCAGGTGCTTTCTGATCAGTGCAGCATAGACAAGTATTATCACTAATTTTGACACAAAGCTTTGTTGATGAAGCTCAAAACTTAACTGTTCAAAAATATAATCTATTATTGAGGTAGATGTTGCTTGCCATTTAAATTTTAATAATAAATTAGATAATAAACTCCTGCCCAATTTTTTCCTTCAGTTTCAAGCACTGAAACCTATTTATAGGATGTTTTTCTCCTCTGGTTCTAAGCACTAGTTATGCATTCCATTAATACATTACTTCCCACATTGTCCTCAAATTGAACTTTTTAGTTTGGAGATAACAAAGAAAGGTTTTGTTGTCCTTTTTTTTTTTTGCATGATTTTATAGTGCAGATTTTGTATGTATTACTTCTACCCTAAGTATTGATTGCAATAAGGCCACCACTGATCCCAAAACATTTATGTGAAATAGAAAAATCAATTGGAAAAAATGTGAAAATGCTTATATGGCTTTGGAGCACATTAATAATTAAAAATTTGACTGGGATGCTAAAATTTAGTCAATATATTTTAAGATTTAGAAAAAATTGATTAATTATAGAAATTAATAACAACTTTGGGCAAATTAAAAGCTTTTATCAGTGACTTTCACTTTAATTGTACCAACTGCAATAAAATGGAAGCTATAGAAAATAAAAACACATTATTTTTTCTCAAACATGAAAAGTTACTTTAATAAGTATGTATTATTTTCCTTAAAAGGCATTGAGCCAAAATATTAGTATCCTGCCCTTTTCCAGGCAGAGGCAAGTTCTAAGGTCCATAAATGACAAACATGGAAACCTAGTCCAGAGGATGTAATGTACCCATCAGCATTTCCCTGCAACTTCAGAGGTCATATAATTTGACCACTCAGTATAGGCTGGGTTAGAAGTCAATAAAAACTATTACTGTTTCCCAAAGAAACGTCTTGAATTACATTTCCTGCTAGCCAATTACAATCTGATTTTGAAAGTGAAAGAGTTTGTGGTTCAAGATAAGTTAAAAAATTCACCCAGTACTTCAAACTCCTAGAACATATTAATTGGATTCCAGCTTGTATTTACTTATGGCTTAATAGTAGATATTTTGGTTTTAACACCAGAGCTAAATACAAAAAGTAAGCTGCCTACATATCAGATACTTGAGAATAACTTGCTTCTCTCTTATCATCATTAAAATATGCCACTGAGTAACTCATTTAAATTTTGTTATAATTGTTAAACATATTTAGTTTTATTTTTAGGTTTCAGTAGAGGCATCTGCTATTCCACCCCGAATAACTCCTAGTTTTCTTTGTTTGTTTTTCTATTTTACAAGTAGATAAGGCATTGATAATGAAAAGCAATTGAGAATCACATTGTTTTGCTGAAATGCATAATATGGGGGAATCCAAATAATTGCATTCTGAAAATGAGAAGAGTTTCTTAGCTGAATGAAAAGATTTCTTGCCTCTTTTTCAAAACCTTTAAAAGTGGTGATTAGGTTAGAAGATTTGGTGAACTAAAAACTCTCCCTGATATTTTTCAATTTACCAATTTATTCTGTGGTAGAAGATACTCCAGACTTTTGAAAACACCGAGAAAAAGAAATATATCAGTCTTAGTTGGAAGAAAAAAGAAAGTTCCCAAATATTCTTTTCAATAAATGAAGGAGGTTGCTCTTATTTTTCAAAAGGAAGTTATCCTTTTTTGATTCTCTGCAAAAACTGAGATTTTGTAATTAATACATATAATTGTATTTTAGACCTTCTATGAGCAAATGTTTGATCTCTTCATTACAATCCTGTAATTCTGTGCCACTTTATTTGCATAACATAACTTTACTAGAGATGTTCAGAAAAATGTGGATGACCTTGTATCAGAAATCCTGCACAGAGCAAAGATGGGAGTAGAGGGCCTTTAAAATTCCTTCCAACCATATGATTGAGTAGAATGGTTAGAAATCTCTAAAATGTAGTGTGTGGCATTGATTCTGATAAAAGCAGTCAGTAGACCAGCATTTGTTCAAATTCAGCTACATTTTCATGAACAGAATTGTAAGTGTCAAATTTAAACTGAGTGCTTCATTTATAACAACTAATAAATTGGTGAATTAAAAGCAATAAAGATTAACTATTAAAACGCTTCAACCTCTATAACCAAAAATATTTTTCCACAGGCAAAACCTTGTTTTTTTTAAGATTGCTTTTCTCTCACCATCTTTTATACCTTCATTTTTTCCCCTAGCAGTAACAAATGAACCCACTTTGGAATCTTTCCCATCCAAAACATCTAAAACTCTTGACTGGCCAAGGGCAACTCTGGGTAAAGTTATTTTTTTTTCACTGGAAATGATTATACCGAGTTTTCTATTTCATCAGAAACATTTTCATTCCCTGTGAATTAATTTGTTCGAGAATACAATAACTATTCCTTCCTTACTAACCTTTCTCTAATTTCCTCTTCTTTAAATCCTCTAAAAATGCTTTGAAAATTGTGGTGCATTGTTGAATTTTGTACTTTAGATATGCATGAATTTCTTTTTTATTATTATTTATCATTTTTATCTAGAAACGTCTGTGTGAGTAGATTGCCTTCTGATTAATCACTTGTGGAAACATTGAGATTTTCAATTGAGTACTGTAAAACATCTATTACATCTCTATCATCTTCATCAGCTTGTTGTTGGTCCATTTCAAACTGAATTTCTTCATCATTACGAGATCCTTGCATGTGCGTTTTTATGTGAGATGTTTATAAATCATGAACAATTTTAAATATAAAGTTGATCCTCTTTTCAGTACCACATGAAATCCCATTTATTACATTGAAATGGAAGGTTTCTGCCACCCCAGAAAAATGGCATGAGAAACCTGGTCATTAAACACCTTTAAGCATGTATTTATGTATATTAATTTGTTTATGAATCACTATAATATGAATTTATATTTTTGCTTCATTGAATTTGAATATGACCCAAAAGTCATTATATGTAACCTCATGATTAGTATACTAACTTTGAATAATTTTTATTTTCAGTATTTGAGGAATATAAATTATTTTATGTTGATTTTATCTTGTATATGAATTTCAAGCCATATTGCATTTTTACATCTTGTACAATTACTTGAAGAAAGCATGTGGGTTTATCCTTTCTTTTTGTGCTTATGTTGAAAAGGAAAAGCCTAAATGTCAGTTTGGTATTATGCAAAAAAGTTTTGATTGACTGGCTCTTTGGTAAATTATCAAACCTTTGTCTTATAGGGTATGTATGTATGTGTGTGTTTGTATATGTGTATGTGCGTTTGTGTATAAAACTGACTGTGTGTAGATATAGACATATTTGTATGTGCATGATGATTTTACTTTCAATTCAGATATTAAAAATAAATAAATAGGATAAATAGGTAATATTTGCTTTTGGTATCAGGAATGAAATTTATTTTTCCTGTATAGTGTTTGAATTATTTTATTTTTTCTTAGTCTCTACTCTACCATCTGTGAAGCAAAACATACCTAAAACATCTAGGATCACTGAAAAATTAAAAGCATATCCAGGTAACAAAAATCTATTGACAAGTTATATAGTTCTAACTATATTTTTCAATAGAACAGAATATATGTAGCCCAGGGTTATAGCTGTGGAGTCCTTGGTGATGTCTGGCCTTGGATGTTTGCTTGCACACTTTTCATTACCCAACTAGGTACCAGAATTAGAGTAGAGTAGAGTAGAGTATAGAGTAGAGTGGAGTAAGTAGAGTAGAGTTGGAAGGGACATTGGAGGTCTTCTAGTCCAGCCCCCTGCTCAAGCAGGAAAACCTATACCATCTCACAGACAAGTGACTGTCCAGCCCCCTCTTAAAAATCTCCAGTGATGGAGCACCCATGATTTCTGGAGGCAAGCTGTTCCACTGGTTGATTCCAGTGTTGCTTAATTCCAGGTTGCTTCTCTCTTTGATCAGTTTCCAACCATTGTTTCATGTCCTGCCTTCTGGTGCTTTGGAGAATAACATGACACCCTCTTCTTTGTGGCAGCCCCTCAAATACTGGAATACTGCTATCATGTCTGCTCTATTTCTTCTTTTCTTTAGACTAGCCAAACCCAAATCCTGCAGCCATTCTTTGTATATAAAGTAGCTTGCCCTGCCAGTGTTGGTGGGAGTCATTTTCTCCTTGATAATACCTTGATTAGGATTTCTACATGATTGTTCAATGTTAATCCCTGCTTAGTTGACCGCTGGCTATTGGAGAATATGTGTTCTGGCCTTTTTGTTTCCTTCTTAGCTTTTTTATTATTGCTTTTGAACGATATATAATTGTGGTTTATCTCTATGTGTCTATTGATGGCTGATTTGTCTGAATACCAAGCTTCCCAGAATTCCCTAGCATCCTTTGGTCAAGGATGCTCACAATTTTCCAGTTGTAACTATGCTTGTTTTGGTTTAAATGTTATGAGATTAAGAAGTTTTCAACCATATTTTTCCTATGAAATTTGTAACAAACCTTCCTTTTTCACAATGGCAAATAATAAAACAATGATGTTTTCAGAAAGAGTAGACTCCAGTAAAATCAATAAAAAGGCCTTGACAAGCTGTTCTGAGCATCCTTCCCACATGTGATTTTGTGGTAGGAAGAAAGTTGGAAAAAGTGAGAAAGGGCTGCAAGAAAACAATGACTTCTGGATGATCTTACAAATTCCATGAATGAAACAAGATGATTGCACAATAAAAACCGGAATGCATACAGAAGGAACATTCAAATGTATTAATCAGTTTACAGATACAGTATTAACCATTAGAAAACACATTTGTTTAAAACAGAATGCATTCATTGATCTGAATTATGAAAAATGAAGAACTGTCCTTTCACAACTTCATGAGTATTTGTAAGAAAACAAGTAAAAAGCATTAGTTGATTTAACATTGTATCTGTCAAAATACAGACCTATCTCATGATTTTAGAAAAAATATTTCACCTTTTTAAAAAGATCATAGCAAAAGGAATAAAATTATATCCTGCTAAATGTGGTATTTATCAACATGAACAGTCAGAACAACTGTTTTTAATTAGCTTTAAATCATATGAGATTTCCATTCTCATTCTCCTAGTTGGCTATCTAGATATTGAAATGATTTATAGACAAGCATTATAACATTGGTGTTTACCTTTGGATACATTCAGATAAAGAACTTAGAGTGGCATGAAATAGATTGTGTGATGATAATACTATCTGCTCAATAGTGTCTGATTCCCTGTGATTCTATGGGTCAGCTCTCTTTACATTTTTTCCAATTGTGTATGGCTTCTTTCAGTTGATTTATGCTCTGGCTGGTATCAGCTTTGATGGAGTCAAGCCATTGTGTCTTTGGCAGCCTAATTTCCTTTTACCACTGATCATTGGAAGCATAGCTGCCTTTTCCAGTGAGTTCAATTGCATGACATGGCTTAAATAAATACGACAGAATTTTATGATTTTTCCATCCAGCAATATGTCTAGTTTTATTAGCTCCAATACTTACTTATTTGTCACCCTTGCTGTCCAAGGAATGTACAAGAGCCTTCTCCAACACCACACCTAAAACAAGTCGATTTTCCTCTTGTCTAGTTTTTTCATGATTCAATTTTTGCAGTTGTAGGTAACTACTGGAAAAACAACAGCGAGGCATAATTTGTATTTAATTGCCAGACTGATGTTCCTGCTTTTGATTTGTGTTTATTCACGTTCATCATTGCTGTGTGACCAGTGCAATTTGACCCTTTATTTCTGAACTGCATTCATTGCTTTGATCAATCTGCAATACTAGGAAAGTGAATTTTTGTAGTCATTTGATCTCTTACCTATCAATTGTTATTTTGACTTTTCTACTCCTATGCTTGGTCTTTTTGATCTTTAGGAAAAGGCCAAATCTCTCTCTCTATCTTTAATCTTTTTGATCATGTTTCCAGCCTTCTTTGGTTTCTGAGAGGAGACTTTTGTCATCAACATATTGAAAATTGTTGATGTTCTTTCCTCTAATATTTACTGTGGTTTTTTTATTCTTCAAGATCCAGCTTTCACATGATTGCTTTGCCATGTGTGTTGAAAAACAAAGGTGAAAGAATGGAACCTTACCACACTTCTTTCTCTATTTTGAACTAAACAGTGCCCTCATACATTGTTTGCATAGTGCCTTTCTGATTTGTATACAATGACTGCACAACTTGAGCAGATGTGTTGGCATTCCCAGGTCTTCTAAGGCTCTCCACAATTTGTTAGGATCAACATAATCAACTTTCTTACACATATAGATATGCTTTTGATATTTTTGAGATTTTTCCATGATCCAGCATATATTTGCAATATGGTTACGTGTTTTCCCGAAAATAAGACTGGGTCTTTTTTTTTTGCCTCCAAAAGAGGCACCTGGTTTATTTTTGGGGGGGGGGTGTCTTTTCCATGGTCTCACCTTATGGCGGCAGCACCACAGCCCTGCCCAGCTGGCCCACTTCTTCTGCAACCAAAGGAAATGCCTTTGCAGCTGAGAATGGAACTCCGGATTGACGTGTGCATGCCCTCCAGCCAACATTTCATGGTCAGAGTCCCTCGGGAAAAGCCTCTGCAGCTGAGAACCAAGCTACGGATTGAATCTGTAGCTCGGTTCTTGGCTGCAGATGCCTTCCGGAAGGCCTCTGAGGACAAGATGCTGGCTGGGGGTAATCCGGACCTCCATTCTCAGCTTCAGAGGCATTTCCTGAAGGCTGAATGAAATGCAGACCAGGGGGCATTGCAGAAGAAGTGGAAAGTGAAGAGATAAGTTGCTTTTATAGCAGATGCCAAGTAGCCAAAATTGCAACAAAGATCAGCTTCTATCAAAAATATTAGAATAATGTTTTATGTGAAAGTGTCTAATTCCCAAATGATGTTTTTCTATTTTTTTCATTAGCAGAAAAAGAATCACAAGAGAAAACCACTGCATCTAGCATTTTTAAAACCCCAGAATTGCCAAGAACAACAATGGGTAAAGATGAATTATGTTTCCATAAAATTGCAGGAAACTGTAATTTGCATATGTTTTAAAATATTAAATAAGTGGACTATGTGCATAATATTGCTGGGTGGTCTCTTTGTCTGGCCATGGTAGGACACAATGAACCAGTGAACCAATAGAAATATAGATTTTAAGGGTTATCTTATCGCCCATTTCGGAAGCTATGAAAGAATGCTCACAACTTTCTTGTGACAAACAGGTTTGTCATACACATTATTCGATTGTTTTTTGTCAGGTATTATTTAATATTTTTTTCATTAATATTTTAAAACTCTTTCTTATAACATAATCTAGTTTTCTGTGCCTCTTTTATTGTTCTTATTTAAGTATTAAATGCCTTTCGGTATATCATTTTTTTATACTTAAAACAGTCATAGGGCAGAGAACCGTTTGTTAAATTATTTGAATCCCACCACTGGTAATAAGTGTATGCTAGCTTCTACTGAGACAAATAAAATAGATAGGGTATTTTGTCTTTTTTTCCCCCACATAGCCCACTAGTAAAACTAAAACTTTCAAGATATCTCAATTTGGAGCTAGCAATTCCACCCTTTCTATTTGAACTTTGGTAAAGACAAAGCTTATAGAAATGTATTTTTACATATGTATGTTTATTACATTGAATAGCCACTCAGGACCTGTGATTCTGAGTGTGGATTTAAATACTGGATTGGGCCTCAAGAAAAAAAAATATCAGGTTGGTTATTTAGCTCTTAATCAATGTTTGGAATTTAGGGGGCAGAAAAAGAAGTCTTTCCTCTTTTCATTATCATAAGAAAGAAAAAAAGAAAATCATCATTTGCCATCAGACTCATATGTTTAAAGAATTGATTGATACTGACCAAATTTACTGTGCTAGTTATTTTGGGGGGACACAGTAGAAAATTCATAACAGCAAACTGGGCCCTATTTTATTGTGTAAAAAGATGTGAAATAGGCCATGCCCCTTTTAATAGAAGCCCATCCAATTTAACATAATACTTTACTATTACATTTAATAAGATCAGAATAAGTTATTCATGTTTTAGCATCAAAATGGAAATCAACAAAAATAGACTTGCCTAAGAAAAATATTCTTTCATTTGCTATAATCATGTATATACTCTCTGTGTATACAAAGATTATATATATATATGAAAAAATAATTATTTGAGGTAATTGTATTGCTGTGAAAGTAAATGATTAGACTACTGTAATTTAAAGCAAATGTATTATTATTATTTAAAGAAATATTTTATTTGCACAAAATAACTTCTATAAAATCACAGCAGTATATTAAAAGAAATAAATGAACTATTTTAAAAACCAAAATGCAGCACAAACAAGTAAATACAACTAGTTTGATTGGCTTTTTTCTTTCTAAAAATATGAGAATGGATAGTGTACATACTTTTAGGTATTGATCAGGTTCCAAAAATCAATTAAGGCTAAACCAGTGAGCCAAATGTTATACATATATACCTGTAAAGTAAAGCTCTTTAAAATCAATTAAACTTGTTTCTAAACAATTTAGTAAGATTGCATTGCATTAATTACTTTATTCAAACAGCAATCTCGTGTCCTTTTGTTGCAACAGTTGTTTAGAATCTGCCAAATGGAAAAAGAGGGAAGTCAAATCTTTAAAAAACAAATAAAACTAACATATACATTCCTAATTATTAACCATATGGGATGATTTTATGCAATTTTGGATTTAGATGTGCACAAAATTCTGTTATGGAAGAATTCTCATCCAGTTCAAAAGTGCTCTAACGAAGCATTTCTGAGTGCCAGTGCTTTTTTTTAAAAAAAACCTATCATTTCTCCTTTTTATCCTTCAGTTCCCAGGGGGCAAAAATTCCCTGTTTCCAAGCCCCAACTCCTTCCCCATCTGGAAGAGCCAAAGATTACACTGGGTAATTGCTATGTAGTTTCCTATAACTGTTTTGTTCCACAGCGTCGATCAAGCTTTCCTTTTTATTGTTTTGGAAAAATATTTCATAACAGAACATCTCATGTTGTTTTTATTATATAACTTTGCAACATGAAATAAAATATACTAATTATAAAGGTTCTTTTGATTTGTCTAGAAATCCAGTAAGATTTCATTATCATATACAGTAACATCTTTTGTGCTATCATTTTATGAAATAAAGCACAGAAATGAATTAATATAATTGGACAATAATTTGGTTAAACATCAATCACAAATATCAGTAGATGATAATAAGGTTACAATTCTGAAAGCATTTAAAAATACTCATAAACATAATAAAAATTACATCAAATTTGTAGTGGCTTCATCAAGTCTATTTTCATTAACTAAAAATATTCTGGTATTATTAATATTAATATCTGTATATGCAAGGTATGTTAAATCATAAGTGAATTGTTCATTTAATAAGTTCTTGGGAACTGAATATCAAAAACCTCTGTTTCAGTCTGGAAGGTTTTGACTTATCAATTTCCTTTAATTCAATGTGTCTAATATCCTCCTCCAAGAACTTTAACTAGAAAGTTACCTCTCTATTATCTCTCTAGCTGAAGATGGACATTACCTCTTAAATATGGATTAAGTCATTGCTTGAAATAGCACAAGCTGCATACCATTTTCAATATTGGAATAAGAGACAGGATTACCTATGCATATAAAAGCTATCCTCAACATGTTTCTATCAGGACAGAAATATGTGAAGATAAATCTGAAACAAAACTAGAATTGTTTATGTGGTTGGAGAGAGTTGTTCGTTCTTGAGTCCAAAACCCTAGGATCCCATATACACGCAATTCTTTTCAGGAAGAACATTGAGAACTTTGCTACAATTAATTTATATTTGCACAAGAAAGTAAAAAAGCAAGCCTGGATATAGGCTTTACTTCTTTCCTGAACAGATAATTGGTACCGTAAAATCTGATAGACTTTATAAGAAATTTTGTAATAGATACCTAACAAATAGACAGAAAATGAGGAATTATACATCTGTCCACAATTTGTTACAATTATCTTCCATACAACATAATGCCTCAAGTATCCTTATATAAAGATAATCCAGGTAAATGAAAAGCAATTGATGTGAATTTTGCTTTAAAACCTATTTTTAACAGTATTAGAATTGGAAAAGATATATAGAATTTATGAGATCAACATGAAAACCTGAACATATTAATAAGGAGATAGATTTCTTCTAAAGATATGCCATGGGTTTAATCTTTGGTTGTGATGAGAAAAATGGAATTTGTGATACTTGATATATCCCCAAAATGTGATCCTTAAAATAGCAGCTATCTGGCATGTTTAAGTTGAAACATTAGCTTCAGTAAATCAAAAACAATTGGACAGTGTGCTAGTACACAATTCCTTTGTATTTATTTTCTTTAATCATTTATACAGTAGTCCTCGACTTATAACAGTTCGCTAGTGACCGTTTAAAGTTAAATGCACTGAAAAAGTGACTTATAAGTATGGCCATTTTTCATACTTATGACTGTTGCAGCATCCCCATGGCCACCTGATTTATAATCGGATGCTTGACATCTGACTCACATTTAGGATGGCTGAAGTGTCTTGTGATCACTTTTGCAATTTCCTGACAAGCAAAGTCAATGGGGAAATCAGATTCATTTAACAACCATGTTACTAATTTAACAACTGCAGTGATTCATTTAGCAAATGTGGCAAGAAAATTTGTAATATGGGAAAAACTTACTTAACAAATTTCTCACTTAGCAACATAAATTTTGGTACAACTGTGGTCATAAGATGAGGATTACCTGTTTTTAACAACTCTCATTCGTTTCTTTTTTTCTATTTTAAGCAGCATCCTACAAAGTTGGTTTATTTCCTTCTTTAAAAATGTTTGAAATTTGTTTTAAAAAGATCATAGCAATTTTGGCCTCAGCTGTTTTAAAGATATGCACTTGTGCAAGTTCATTTTTCTAATATTGCCTGTATTTGATTTTCAAGAATAGGCTCTATTGTTTCATTTATAAAAGATATTTTCTTTGCATCTTTGTTTGCTTTATAATTTAGTCACCTAGTCTAGCCATATTCTCTCTCAGACTAACCTACCTAATTGGGTTGTTGTGGTGGTGATAAAATGAAGACTGATCCCCTTGTAAGTTGGACTGGGCTCCTAGAAGAAAGGGAGGATAAAGAATCTAACAAATAAAACCACCTAAACCAAAGAAAATGTCAGCAGTTATGCATGCACTTCATTATTCTAGAGAGTAAATTCTAGTATTTTGCTTTTTAAAAAATACTAGCTTATTTTTTTCAACTTGCTCAACAAATGTATATTGTAATAAATTATTTAATTATTACAATGTCTAAGGTTAAGTTTTTAATATTTAAAGAAAGTTCATAATTTTCTATAACAGTGGTCTTCAATCTTTGAAGCTTGGCGGCTTGGCTGGTGGGGGGAGAGGGGAACTGGCTGCGCAAGTGGCAGGCCAAGGTGCATACGCATTCAGCTCACACAGCCCATTTCCAAATAGGCCATGGTCCAGTAGCGGGCTGCAGCCCGGGGGTTGGGGACCCCTGCTCTGTAATATTAGCTCTGTCACATAATGATTGGATAGAGTGGCCAAGAAGGAAATGGGAAATTTGATGCAGATAGTATTTATTTATTTATTTATTTATTTTTCATAATTTATATGCCGCCCTTCTCCCCACGGGACTCAGGGCGGCTCACAGCATATTAAAATAACACAATACAAACAACACACACAACATTTCCCCTATAAAAGCCAATTAAAACCAAATATTTGTAGCTGTGACATTATTAAAATCATTAAAAATTATCCCTATTTAAAA